ACTATCACAAAAATTTAATTTATTTCACTCTTTTTTCTTTTTTTAAGAATATATATTTTTTGTTTTGCCAAAATTGATATTTGTAATAAGGATTAACGGGGTGTTTTTATCAATTATGAGACATTTCGTAAATAAAAAAGGATAGTCTTCCACAGAAAAAAAATATTTTTAGATATAAAATAAAAGAGTCAAATTTTTTGTCTGTATAAATTTTGCAAAAAATATCTATCTAATACATGAATATCAAGACTAGCGATATATTATTGCGAAAATCTTTTTACACCTGACTAATAATCATAACATGCAACTAATAAATATAAAATTTTCTATCAACAATTACAATTTTTCTTGTTTGATTTTTGGATATATAAAGGAGAAAAGAATATCTATTTTACTTTGCAATATTCAGCATAAAAAATCGAGAGACAAGTCTGTATAAATATTTGAAAAATATAATCAAGATGTGAGAGCGAAACATTTTCGTGTTCAGAACTCTACAATTTATTTTTAATTTCTCGGATAAGACATAAAAGTTTACACACATTCCACATTTTTTATCAAAAATATAGAGTTTCAATAATTATGATAACATATACTTTATGCCTAAATATACTGTTAAAGTACACTACATGGAATCAAATATGACATATTTTTGTACATGAAAACATTTTACCGTAGACTAATAAACCAACGATAATCAATAAATTCGTCTAGGAGTAATAAATTGTGTAATGGATTTTTTTAATGCCCGTATCACAAAAATAAAACAAATAAAAAATTGCAAAGCTTTGGAAATAAACGAATGTAACAAGGATAAGTTAAGTAGACTTGAAATATTTATTATCGAAAGAAACCCTTTAATCACGATATTGGACACGTCGAAAAAAAATATTAAATTAATAAATATTTTATTTCAATACTGCCTTAGAAATTATTTACATGAAACAATAAGTATCAAATCATTATTATTAAAATCAAATAAATAATTTATAAGGCAGTATTGAAATATAGATATTTATTCAAATTCAATAAATTTTTTTAGAGTGCAGAACTTACGGAGTGATATTTTTTACTCACTAATTTACGCGCATATTGATCATATTTATTTACGAAGATGATTATTCTATTTACGAAATTTTGAAAAGTACAAAATATAAAAGGTTTAAAATATGGAAAAAGCAAAAACTAAAATAAAATTTCATTATTAAAATATAAACCCCCTAAAATTAAAATTTCATATAAAGCATTACAGTATTCTAATATTAAATAATTTATAATTGTAGATTAGTTTCAAAAAAATATACAATATCCCCTTTTTTGTTTATAGTAAAATTAGAAGGTATATTTTGTAAAACATTCTCTATAAGATTAGAACATCCAAAAATATTTTAGATAAATGTTTATGAAATTTTTTTCACAAGTGTTCCGAGATAAAAAAGTAAATAATTAATTTCGGTGAAGAGTTTCTGTTGCACAAGACTTTTGAGGATTGTCAAAAAATTATGTGTCTATTACATAGTTGCAGAGAAGCAGTCACACGAGCAAACTTGTGGAAACAAAAATATAATTCAGAGAGACATGTATTTGTATATTTATATGTGTGTATATATAAACCTGTGTTTGTGTATGTACGTGTGCGTGTTTGGATTTTTATATCTACTTTTCCCCAACAGATGGCGAGGACCGAGAAGTGATTCCCGTGAGCAAAATAACACCAGCTGTCTATATAAGAACGCTATTTCAAAAATATGGTTTATATGCATACTAAACGCGTCGGGGATTACCGTGATCAGAAAGGCGGTTCCCCCAGTCAATGGTCACTAGGACTGTTTGACTGTAACTATATACAATATAGCTTAGGCGCATAATTTTTGGTAGTGTGGGGTGCTCGTGCTTCGATGTACCCCACGGCTAAACTAAGTCAAACATAAATTGTAACATAGTCGTATGCGTGGCGAACGTCGGACAAAGGCGGCTGACTCGGGACTCGAACTCGGGATCTCCATTTTCGGGTTGCTGGACCTTTGACCACGATGCTATGCTGGACCTACGAATTGAGATACTTTTTTCGTATACTTAAGCTTCTTGGTCGACCGGTCAGCAACGTATTTTTGTTTCCGAATAGGTCGTTTACTTGAACTGTCACTTTAAAATTTCACGCAGTCATTGAAAATTGTTTGCAGAGTTGTGTAAAATCAGTAACAATTGCTTTACGAAATTATTCATCGTATAAAATTTTAACTACATATAAAACTTGAGGTGTATACATTTATTGAATAAATATTATTTACGGAAATAAATATATATATACATATATTTTACATTTAATAGCATAATACTTGAAATATTTGTTATATAAAATGAAATAACTTTTTCTCGTATGCACGCACATGCATCAAATTCATATTTTAATATCACTCAAAATTTTTATAGGCAATTTCTAGCAATATTTCTAGCAATATTTTAGTAGGTATAAGCATGAAGAATATAAATTTTAGAGAAAAAAAGAAATGTATCAAAGAATGCTAATTTATATATATATATATGCGTTGTGTATGCATTTTGCATGTGCTCACATTCACATTTAAATCTTACTTTCATTTTTTATCTGTATGTTTAATCTATATTATACTATGTTTTAACAATAAAACATCTGCATAACGATGCAGAATAGAAGATAAAATTTTAAATTACATATACAATAAATAAATAGATTTACAGATAAATAAATAGAATTTATTAATATATAAATTATTAATATTATTAATATATTTATTAATATAAAGTTTTATTTTCATAGAATAACGTGAGGAATTGATTTTTGTTAAAAAGTTTATTTTAAAAAATGATGAGGATGCAGGACCTACGATCTGACACCTTTTTGTTCGTGTATTTAAAGCGATTTTTCGTCGGATCGTCAATGCATTTTCGTTGACAGACCGTTTGTTTCCTTGAACTACCGTTTTCAGATTTTATTTAGTCACTTAGAAATATTTTACCGAGACGCGAATATCAGAAAGAAATATTAAGCGTATAATATCAGAAAGTATGATGAAAATATTGACAATGAAACATCTGCATAATGATGTAGAATAGAAGATAAAATTTTAAATAATATACATGTGTAAATAGATGAAATATTCTGGATGTTTTTTATAGCAATATTTTAGTATAAGAACGAATAATAAATTTTAAAGAAAAGAAGAAATGTGATAAACAATAGAATTGATAAACATACGAAAAATCATCATTAGAAATAATTATTTTTGTTTATTATACCTTTATTAATTCTATTTAATACAAAATAAAATAAATAAAATTTAATTTTAAAAAGCATATTTGATTGATGAAATATGTTTCGTGTGATAAATTGCGATTATAATTTTTGACAATGAATTTGACAGAAAATATATAAAGCTACAAATAATATACTTTACTCTGTATTATATCAATCAGATCTAATTGTTTCGTTGCTTTTGCAAATTTGTAAAATTATATAGTAATAAAACATAATTTATCTGCGAATGAAACGTTATGAAAAGAAGAAAGAAAAAAATAATACGCGATATTAATTTTGACATATTGTGTATATTTTTTGCGTGCGTTGGCCGAGACATCCGGGACAATATTATCTAAAAATATATATTTACACAATGTATATTTGATGAAAGACAAAAACTACAACACGATACACTCATTTAGCCGGTCATTTATCGTATATATTTCTACGCGCGTTCTATTTTTACCTCCAATTTGTATTAATCGCGCGCTTCTACGCAAAACTATAGCTCAGTAAAATTAGACTTGAAAAGGGCAAAACTTCAAAAAAATTCTAATCAGGTTGAATTTTTGTGGAGACCTTTATTAATAAATAACAATAGACCTTTATTTATAAATAACGTCGAAATTTTGATGTTTTAATAAAATCCTCAAAAGTACTTTTAATATCAGCCAGAGCATTTTTTATGGGAAAGAAATTTTAATCTTTTGTAATTATCTCGAAAATTATCAACTTTTCAAGAAAAATTGTTATTATCAAAATTGTAGCTCAGAAAATTCTCTACAAAAAAGATCATTATACTTTTTTTCGTACAACTAATCGTTTTTGAGTAAAACGTGCGGTAAAGTTGCAATATTTCTAATATAATTTTTCTGCACCTCTTACAAAGTAGTAATGTGTACATTTTCTTTCAGACTTAATTCGCTCTATATCTTCGAAACGATTAATTTCACGGAAACAAGTATGACTTTTTTGTAGGGAATTTTATAAGCTACAATTTTAATAATAACTATTTATCTCGAAAAATTGATAGTTTTCGAGATAATGGCAAAAAACTACAATTTATCCCTTTTCATCCGCCATGAAAAAACGTCCTGGCTGAAATTAAGAGTATATACTTTTCAGGATTTCATTAGAATATCGAAATAAATAAGGTCTTCACAAAAATTCAGTTTGATTATAATTTGTTTGAAGTAAAAGTCTAATTTTACTGGACTAAAACAAGGAAGCTCGGCGAGAAGACGAACGAGGATATAAGTGAGCCGACGACGACACCCGTCTGGGTGCAAATATAATTCGCGATCTCCTCGTGGGCGAGTTAAGTGGTCGTGGCGAGACGTGGTAAACGCAGAACAGGCCACAATTAAGGAGACACGATATCTCCGTTCGCGACTGACGTGGCTGGATTGCGCATTTCGCTTTGAATTTGCTTTAAAGCTCGGAAAATTTACGATAGCGAGCGCACACGCGAGCTCTGGAAGGTCATACGATAGAATTAACACGAGTACATGTATATTAAAGAAGAGTTTCCTTTCTACCTTCATGCATCGCTTCTGTTACATTTTTTCTGCAAAATTTAACTAATTTTTTTTTACTTTTTTTTCGAGGAACCATCTGCGTTTCTGGTCGAGACGATATATACATATATATATATATATATATATTATATTAATTATATTATATATATAACTTATATATATAATATTATATACATTCAATCATGACTTTAATTGGTAATTTCCCTCCATTTTACATACAGAAACGCATTACAAGAGATAAGAGATTGCGGAAATGATCTTTATAAAAATGATATTTATAAAAACTCAATCAATTTACAGGAAGACACAGACAATTTGAATTCAATATACGATTTGATTCTTAATATAATATAAAGTTTAGTACTTACAGAATGCTCGATCTGCACGCATTGTCTCTCAACGACGCATTAAAGTAACGACTTACTTTAAACGTGCCTGTGCAATAAAATAAAGATTTGTAATGTGTTCAAGTTAGCCAGTCTGGTCGTTTACTTTAGCTGTCCTTGATAAAATATAATAATAAAATATATGTAAAATATCAAATGATATGTAATATATTATATTACAAATATATAATTTAAAATTAAATAGGGAGAGGGAGAGATGTTGCGTGATACTAAAATACCATAAATGATAATGTGGCGGTGTAAAGAGGGAATCCCAAATAATGCACTTTCGCGAGCGATTATATATTCGATTGCAGAAAAATGTGGGCAAAGTTTATAAGCGTACGTTTGCGCTGATTCTGTTGCAGATATGAGAATTTTTCTCTTCAGCGGGTTTCTTTTACTGGGCTTTGTCGTAGCGTCAGTACCGGATGATTACGTGGATTCATCGGAATCCGCGGAAATAATAGACCAGGATACGAATACGTGCCATTACATCAGAGCTAATTCGTTATTGGAAGCGAGATGCCAATGGAAATCGATGAAAATCTCGTTAGATTTGAATCCGGACATACAGGTGAGATTGTCGTTTAAATATATTTTATTTAAAATTGCAATAAAATAATTGGTATGTATATTTTTACCATTATAAAAGAATATTTTCTGCATATATATATATCTATAATTGTGAGGATTTTTTTAATCTTATCTATAATTCGCATAAAATAGAAAAATTTGTAACGAGTTGTAGAAATCCGTGAGACTCCATTTGATTTTTTATTTTTTTACAATAATTATGAAATTATGATTTATAAGTTATAAATAATATTGTAATAAAATTTGCTCGAATTTTATATTCCTCTCAAAGTAAAAAAACTTTTGTAAGAAATATTCTAAAATGCATTGTTCAAAAGATATTCGCGTGGATAGATTAAAATCGCCCACCCTGTGTACGTTTCATCTCTGATAACACTCCTGACGTTCTTCCTCTGTTTGCTAGGTGCTCAATGTTACCGGGAAAATGTACCCGATAATCTTGAGTAACGATACTCTGCATTCTTACAAGAAGCTCGTCGCCATCTATCTACGTGACAATTGGCTTCTTGAATTCGACGAGGCACTCTTCGCCAATCAGCATTACCTGAAAGTACTGGATCTCACGCGCAACATTCTCTTCAAACTGCCCAAAAATTTCTTCCAGTTTCCGTATCTACATACGCTCTATCTCGGCCACAACATGCTCTCCGATTCCGCATTCAAGATAAACGTGACCTCGCCTCTCAAACTGCTCCAGCTAAACAATAACATTATACACGTGTTCCCGAACATAGGCGTCCAGCCGACCCTCATTCATCTCGACGTGTCCTACAACGTAATCATCTCGATCAGCACCGAGGATCTGGCTCCCTTCTGCTCGCTGAAAAAGCTCGATCTGACCGGAAATAGAATCAGATTCAACGCGAGCAGTTGTGATTGTCAGAGGTTCAACGCCTGGGTGAAGCTACGACAGATCAAGATGAAGCCCGATCTCTACAAATGCATCGATCCACCAGCAGCTCTAAACAAGGACTGCGCCAAAGTGACATTCAGCGATCGGACGCACAAGCTGTTCAACGAGTGCTTGGCAATGGCACAACAGAAGATGAAGACCGCGAAAGCCTCGATCGGTCTGAAGAAGCGTCGCCCCGTGCGTCTCGGTGTTCTTCTTCCTAGCGTTGTTCGTGCACAAGCGATACCGTAGGCGGCACATAAAGCAGGAGGAGCAGCTAACGGCGATCTACGACAACACCAAACTATTCCAACAGCAACCTGACGATGATTAGTAAAATAATCGCCGAATAAACGTAGAATCCTGTTAAAAGAGCTGTTTCTGGCGTCGACAATATGCGAGAGTAGAATTTTGCGTGAGAATAGAATTTTCCGAGTAGGGTTGCATACTCTTAAATTATTTACGACAGAATAAAATTTATTTGTTAAATAACAAGGCCCGCAATAATTCCGTTCAACAAGATATTTACATATATCCGGACATCGACCCATTAAGGCCTTTTTGACGTTTAATTAAAAAAATTACAAGCATAGCGGTATGTCTTAGGACCTCTTACAATAGAAAAAAATTATTCATCCAAAAACAAGATCTGAAAAAATCTGTTTATAATGTTATTTTTGCATAAACGCTTAAATACTCGTTTAACAATTTATTACGGTAGACCCTGTGTTTGGTGCCAGAAAATACGAGTAGGATTGAAAATCTATAAAATATATAAGTATATATAGGTAAGAAAAAAAGAGAGAAATAACTGTTATTCATTGAACTGGTGTTTATTGAATGAGTTTAATCGACTGAGGATTCACAGAGGATTCATAGAGAATTTAATCGGATACAGGTATATATCTACGTGCTTAAGTTTGTATTTGATCATCATTAATACATATCGCGTAATGTTCACTAAACATAAGATTATTGTAATAGTTCAAATGCTGCTCTTGGCATGTATGCCATTTTTTGAAAAATATATTGCTTCTTGAAAGGAGTGAGGTACATATATTTTATAGTTTTTTGAACAAAGACAATATAACCAACAAAAGCGATATCAATTATGATCCAGAAACCGGAGATATCGAATAAAATACGTTAGACTTTTCATGGTACTTATTGTTGTAAATTATTTTAGACTTTGAATGGAAAAAAATGTGAAAGCAGGCTTTATATATAACAAAAATAATTAATGATAAAGACAGTTCCGCGAAGATTAATATGATATGAACGCGTTAACTTATAAGAAAAATTTATAAATGTTATTATATTGTGTTCGCGTATATAATGGTTAACGATATTTTTATATAAAAATCTATGTGAATGTGGCAAAATTTTCGAGAATCTTTCCGGGTGTGTGAACGAATATTATACTATACTCTAGGCGGCGATATATGTAGGAAGAAATTTCGGCGTTAATTTCTTCGATGCCGGTCAAATGAAAACCGATCGCTCAATGTCGTCGCGCGCTTTTTGTTGATGTAATAGCCATTTGTTTTGCGACAATTTTTTAGAATTATTGACTTCGTGTCTTACGATTGCTAGGGGTAATACTTCATTTTTACATATAACTGGCGTTTGCAATCATGAATTTATATCATATAGACAAGAATGTAACTCGTTCTTTGTTGCACGCTTTAGATGACCACAAAAAATGCTTTAAACGTTAGAAAACTGAATAAAGAATAAATTTGTTTTGCACACTGATTTCCGTGTGTATAATATATAACTTTCCAATATGATTTTAATTATTTTACTGAAACGCATTACATGAAAAGAGATATTGCGGAAATAATTTTTATAAAAATGCATAAAGACTCCACAAATTTACAGAAAGACACAGATAATTTAAATTCAATATACGATTCGATTCTTAATATCATATACACTTTGCCCGAACAGTATACCTCTCTAGGTCACTGTTATTGTTTTGATACCAACACGGAGGATTAGTATGTATTGAATTCTCGAACGGCACACATCGTCTCTTGACCCACCACACGACTTAATTTCAACGTGTAATAAAGTAAAGTTTTGTGGTGTATTTAAGTTGACTAATTTTCTCTATAGGTAATGTGACACATTATTATCACTTTGCTTTTATAACTATTATAGTGTCTACTTTTTATTATCATACGCGCACGATCATTTTTGCTCTCGTTTTGTTTCTTTTTGTTTATTTTGTATCTTGTATGCCGTTATACAATTTCAATGTTCGAAATTTTATTATATTGTCACGAAAATATGTATCATTTTTAATTAGATTGATAGTAATGTTTATATCACACACGCCTAAGTTTATTGCGATAAATGTGTAATAGTTTAGTCGTGAATTAGTATTTAATTTTTTACTATCAATTTTTATTCCTGATTGTTATATTCTTTGTGTTTAATTGTCACGGAAATTCATATTACTTCTATTTAGATTGATCGTAACCTTCATACCACACACGTCTAGGTTTAGTGTAATATCTTATTGTTAGTCATGCATTAGTACTTTATTTTTTATTATGAATTTTTATTCCTGTTTGTCATATTTTTAGTATTTAATTTAGATGTATTAATTACAGACACTTGACCGAAATTTTCGGTATCATACAATAAATACTTAAATCGTAGGCAGTCTGGTCGTTTACTTTCGCTGTTCTTGATAATATATAATAATAAAATATATATATGTAAAATATCAAATAATATATTATATTACAAATATATAAGTTAAAGCGTCATATAGAGAGATATTGTATGATACTAAAATACCATAAATGATAATGTGGCGGTGTAAAGAGAAAATCTTAAATGTTGCATCTTCGCGAGCAATTAATTATGTGGTTGCGGCAAAGTGTGGGCAAAATTTATAAGCGTACGTTTCCGCTGATTTTGTTGCAGACATGAGCATCTTTTCCTTCAACGGATTCCTCTTACTAGGCTTTGCCGTGGCCACGGTACCGAATGTTCTGAGGCTGGGTTCACTTCAAGCCACGAGAATTTTGGACCAGAATCCGTCCCCGACGATGTGCAACTACAGCAGAGCTAATTCAATACTAAAAGCTCAGTGCTCCAATCGAAAATTGCGGAAAATCCCTTTAGATTTGAAGGCGAATATACAGGTAAAATAGTCATTTAAATATATCTTACTTAAAATTGCAATAAAATAATTGTCATGTATGTTTTTGCCATTATAACAGAATATTTACTGCATATATCGCGAAGATCTTTTTTTAATCTTATCTAATTCAATTTGCATAAAATAAAGAAATTCATAATGTTTTCTAAAAAACCGTGATATTCCGGGTTATTTTTTGACAATAATAGAAAAGTTAAGTTTTATGAAATTGATTGAATAAAATGTCTTAATTGATTTTGATGTAAGAAATCAATTTGCTAGTATAAAATAAACCAAAATTAAGTATGTAATATTCAAAAAACGACCAATAATTTCTTAATTAAAATAAAAATATCATGACGTTTCGATCTGTGGTTTAGGTCATTTTTAAATAAACTGATTTCAAATGAACCACAGGTCGAAACGTCATGATATTCTTATTTTAATAAAGAAATTATTGTACATTATTGGTCGTTTTTTGAATATTACATACTTAACTTTGGTTAAGTTTTATGAATTAAAAATAATATAATAAAATTTACTCAAATCTAAAATTGTACAAATTACAGTTAGATTTGAAGGCGGACATAGAGGAGAGATTGTTGTTTAAAAATATATCTTATTTAAAATTGAAATAAAAAATAATCATGTATCTTTTTCCATTATAAAAGAATATTTACTGCATATATAGTAACAAATTTTTTATCTTATCTGCAATTCGCGCATAAATTAGAGGGATTCGTAACGAGTTCTAAAAATCCACGAAATTTTGTTTTACTTTTTTTAAATATGACAAATTAAGATTTATAAATTAAAAACAGTATAATAAAACTTTAAATATTATTATTAAATAAAAGTTTAAATTAAAAGTAATTTTCCATATAAGGTTTCATATCACATATTTGATCTTGGAAAGTCGTTTAAATATCATTTTCAATTTTTTAAATGATAATCCTTATTTTTCAATGCATATTTTTGTAGCTAGTTCTATTTAAGAAATTGAAAATAACCTTCATGTGACATTCAAGCGACTATCCAATGTCAAACCAATGACGTCATCTTATATTCTTCTCGAAGTCAAAAAACTTTTGTTTGAAACATTTTAAAATGCATTGTTTAAAAGATATTCGCGTAGATCGATTATAATCGCCCACCCTGTATACTATACGTTTCATACCTGATGACAATCCTGTCATTTCTCCTTTGTTTGTTAGGTGCTGGATATTATTGGAAATCAAGTGATAGAACTAAAAAACGAAAATGTGCATCTTTACAAGAAGCTGGTCTTCATTTATCTAAATGAAAATTACATTTATAACATCAAAGAGATAGCCTTCGCCAATCAGCCTTATTTGGAGGTTCTGGATCTCACGGACAATCTTTGACGCACACTGCCCAAAAGTATCTTCCAATTGCCGTATCTTCACACGCTCTATCTCGGCGACAACAATCTCATCGATTCCGCGTTTAAGGTGAAGGTCACTTCATCCCTCAGATTGCTGCAGCTGTTCAAGAATAAGCTAACTGCGATTCTAAACATAGGCGTCCAGCCGATCCTCCTTCATTTATCTAGATGAAAATTACATGCATAACATCAAAGAGGTAGTCTTCGCTAATCAGCCTTACTTGGAGGTTCTGGATCTCACGGACAATCTTTGACGCACACTGCCCAAAAGTATCTTCCAAATGGCGCATTTTTGCATGCTCCATCTCGGCAACAATTTGCTCACCGCTTCCGTGTTCAAGATGAAGGCCACTTTGCCTCTTAGACTGCTGCAGCTGTTTAAGAACAACCTAACTGCGATTCCAAACATAGGCGCGTTTAACCGACCCTCCTTAATCTCGACGTGTCTGACAACTTCATTACCTCGATCAGCACCGAGGATTCTACTCGCTGAAGGAGCTCGATCTGACCAGAAATAGCATCAGATTCAACTGGGGCAGCTGCAATTGTCAGACGTTCAACGTTTGGGTTAAGATGCGGCGGATCAAGATGAAGCCCGACGATCTCTAAAACTGCACCGATTCACCGGCAGCTCTGAACAAGAATTGCGCCAACGTGAGTTTCAGCAATCGGACGTACAAGCTGTTTAACGAGTGCTCAGCTATCATACAGCAGGAGTTGGAGACCGAGAAAGCTTGATCGGTTTGGATAAGCGTTGCTTTATGCGTCACAGTGCTCCTTTTCGTGGTCTTCTTGGCGTTGTTTTGCACGCAAAATAACGCCACGCAGACCACAAAGAAAAACCCCGAGATGAAGTGGACGATGCTTATCCAGACCGATCAAGCCTTTTCGGTCTCTATCTTATACTGTATTATAGCCGAGCACTCGTTAAACAGTTCATACGTCCGATTGCTGAATTCCACATTGCTGCAGTCCTCGTGCAGAGCTATAGGTTAATCGGTGTAATTGTAGAGATTGTCGGACTTCATTTTGATTTGTCATAGCTTCACCCAGGCGTTGAACGTCTGACAATCGTAGCTACCCGCTTTAAAACTTATACTATTCCCGGTCAGATCAAGCTCCTTCAGCAAGCAGAAAAGCGCCAGATCCTCGGTGCTGATCGAAATGATGTTGTCGGACACGTCGAGATTAAGAAGGGTCGGCTAAATACCTATGTTCGGGATCATGGTTAGCTTGTTCTCGGCCAGCTGCAGCAGTCTAATGGGCGAAGTGACCTTCATCTTAAACGCGGAATCGGTGAGCGGTCTTGGGCCCCCTGATCGAACCACTCATGGATCGGAGAACAAGGAGTCTCACTTAACGGTACCATGACGGTTTCTCCAGCATCACACACACAAAAAAAAAAGGTTATCGTCGAGATAGAGCGTGCGAATATACGGCATTTGAAAGAGATTTTTGGGTAGTGTGTGCAAACGGTTTGCTGCTCCTTCTGGTTCTTGCGCTGTCTCCGGTTTCGCTTGTGCACGCAAAACAACGTCACGAACACCACAAAGAGGAACACCGAGATGCACAAGGCGACGTATATCCAGACCGATCGAGCCTTCTCAATCTTCATCTTATGCTGTATCATGGCCGAGCACTCGTTGAACTCGTACGTCCGATTGCTGAATTTCACATTGGTACAGTCCTCGTGCAGAGTTGTAGGTGAATCGGTGCAATTGTAGAGATTGTCAGATTTCATTTTGATCTGTCGTAGCTTCACCCAGACGTTGAACGTCTGACAATTGCAGCTGCCCACGTTGAATCTGATGCTATTCCTGGTTAGCTCGAGCTCTTTTAGTGAGCAGAACGGCGCCAAATGGAGGAGCTGATGGCGAACAAATACAACATCTAGCTGCATCAACAGCAACGTGACTGTAATTAGTGAACCAGCTCTTCGATTACACAAAAACATTGTTTATTTCTCGTAAATATATATTCGATTAAATGCTCTGTGAATCCTGAGTCAATTAAACTTTTTCAATAAACACAAATACGACAGTTCTTGCTCTCTTTTTCTCGTTTTTTTACTTATAGCAAACATCGTTTATTTGAGAAATAAGCTGCTAATAAAGAGCGAGAAAGAATTTAATCGACTGTGAATTTACAGAGAACTTAATCGGATATATTATATATTTACGTGCCTATGCTTGAGCATCATTAATACACATCGCGCAATGTTCAATAAACGTAAAATTATTATAATAACTTAAATGCTGTTTCTGGCGCGATTGCCATTTTTGGAAAAATATATTACTAATTTTTGAGAAAATGTTCATTGGACATACATTAGTTATTCTTGTGCTATCTGGGTATAAATATATTATTCTCCGCGAATCTGGTCTTTTTTATTGATTATTTTCGTTAAAGCGTGTTTTCTCATTTTTTTCCATTCAGAGTTTTAAGTAATCTCGAATAATAAGTACCATTAAAAATCCAACGTATTTTTCTCGATATTTCCGGCTACTGGCGATACTTATATTATATAGCCTTTTGAATACAGACCTTATAATCATCAAAAGTATTATTAATTATCAATCACAAGTGAAGAAGACAGTTCTGCGGATATTAATATGTTTATATCCTGAGCACAAGTATGTCTAATTTATTTCCAGTGAATATTCGTGATTGGACATTGGCATATTCTTAAACAATTTAAATAAGGTCTATCGGACATTCGATGAACGTTTATAAGATGTACATTAGTCACAACAGAGTACGTCCGCATAATCAATTCTGGATTGATTTTAGATCTATTATGGACTGATTTAGGATCTTTTTTCAATTGTAAATTTTAATTATAAATAACAATTAAGTAAATTATGTTTAGTTGTTAATTTTATTTTATAAAAAATACAATCATATATGTGTTAAAAGATATTTAACACAAAACAATATATATTTTTTATATTACTTTTGTACGATAAACTTTGGTACAGGAAAGACAGCCATTTAATAGAATACTATTAATTTTTTAATACTCAATATTATATATTAATAGTTAAATAACTTTTCTTCAATATCAATAAGTTTCACCTAATAGAATAATACATTTTTATATTAAATGAAAATTATTGATATTGCTGATAGTGAACTCTCACAGAAAAAATTTGAAATTAATATATGATGACTTATCATGTTTAGACGCACAATACAAAAAATATATCTGATATATTATATACAGATTTGCGCGCGATTTAAATAGTATAAAATAGATAATTGTATTAACAAAATCCGCAATATTTTAACATACTTTTAACGCAAACAATCTATGTGTACAGAACAAAAACATACAAATTCTGTGTAATAAATAAAAAAACTAAACAGTGTAAAAAGGGAAAAAATAAAAGTGTATTTTAAAGTGTTGTTTAGGATTTATAACCGAATCAGCTTTGCTTTCGTACAAAAATTGACGTGGCTTTTTTATATGGCAAATTATAGGAAGTTTTGGCTGTACGTTAATTCTTTCAGCTTCTGTAACGGCATTACTAATGAACATATTAAAACATTCATCGTTTCTTTTGTTAATAATGTAATTTTTAAGATTTTTTAAAACATGACACATTTGGCTAAGCTTATTTTTGGGGTTTGAAACATTTTACTAACAATATCTATTTTTGAAAGCAAATCGTGCCAAATAATTATAAAACATATAAATTTGAAAGAAAATATTTTTTGTGCTAATAAAGCCATATTTTTTGTTATTTACTGTTGTTTAATGTTATTTAATGTAATCAAATTGTTTAAAAATTAAACATTTTATGGTTTCTTTCCATAATTCGATTACACTGTTTTAAAGAACATTAAAAACTACAAAACTTTTATTTGAAACATTTTTTTATATCTTATATCCGCTCCGACGATATTAGCTCAGAAATAAAAAAAAACCGATTATTTCAAGAGAGTATTTTACCCCCTAAACGTCGAGATACGCCGCTAAAAAAATACGGGTCTAATATTTTTCAATGCTCTACAACATATTCAAGGTTCATTAAACCGTTAATAACATTAAAATTATTTCAAAGTATTTACACACGCACACGGACACACACACTTATGTATTCAATCACAACAAATAAAACATTTTTTGGAGTTTTGGAAATAATTGTTGCTTCTATTTTATGATATTGATTGGATGTTTCATTGTGAGCAACTGTCATATTTAATATATCGATTTAATAAAGAGATTTAATAAAAAATGAAAGAATATAGATTATATAGATTATATATCTTTTTTCTTTGCCCCTTCCACTTCCTAAAACATTTAGTCATTCCCAGTCTATGGCTGTCCACGATGCATTAAGCCTCGTATACGTTAGTGCATAGATTTTCCATCGATTTATTAAGAATAACGTAAACTGCAAGTTGTTTTTATATTGTATGTGTGTTTATTATATATATTTTTGTCGCATAAATAACAGTTACGATATAGGAATTGCTTACCGAGATTATTTTAATTTTAATAATTTTAATAATTTTAATAATTTGTAAATAATTATTTTAATAATTTTGAAAAACGTAACTCTTAGTTTGACATTGAGAATTTAGTTCCACGTGCAAGCAATTTCAGAGGAAACACTCAGAGGTAAGTTTTTCTATATATAATTTTTTTTACTTGATGGACACAGCATGGAAAGGAACTTTACAAAAACTTGGCGAAAAATATAATTAAAAGACTTTATGCAAAAAATTGCCTTTCGAAGCATTTAAAGTAATATTTTGACATTTAAAAAATTTCAAAATGAATGTGATTTAAGAAATTTTAATAGTATATTAGCTAACAAGTGCGGGGAATTGTAAATCGGCCGAGAGTGCGGAAGTTTGGCGCACGAGGCGAAGCCGAGTGTGACAATCTGTACAATCAGCCAATTTATGACCCGCACATGTTGGCTACGATATTTTGTGTGACCGGTGCGTGGAAAGGGAGCCTTTCTAAAATCCCATCATGTGCGTAAAAAGCGACTTTTCGCGCGCCGGTTGCACAAAATAAATTTATACCTAGCCTTTTCAAATTCACAATAGTTTTGCAAATATTGTGTCATTTTAAAACATGACTTGATCAGACTTTTGGTATAAAATTCCGAGGTGCATTCCGACAACACATTTTTCAGAAATAAACCAGAAATACCATTACACGCATTCCATTCGTATCTACCAGATACGGTTCTATAACCGTCTTTCCTTTGTAATCTCACAGGAAGAATTAATTATCGATAAAAACTTATATAATGCATTTTTTTAATTATCATCTGGTGACTTCATAGTTGTATATTGTTTAAAAATTTATATATTATAATTTATGTATGTATATTATATTTAACAATTTATAATATAAATTATATAAATATATATATATATATATATACTTAATAATTAAATTTATAACATATATATTTATTATAAATATATAAAAAAATTAAAATATATATATTATAAACATCTTTTGTATATTTGAATATATATATACATTATAAATATTTTTTATATATTGTAGAACAATTATGTAGCAATAAATAATTGACATATATAGGGAAATTAAGAATGAGAAAATATGTTTCAAGTAAAAAAAAAGTAGAGCCAATAAAAGAAAATCATCAAGGAAGATCTCTTTGTATAAAACATTTCTTTCACGAGCATCATGTTTGTAAAGAATAAAAATTATAAGCATTGCAAACCATATTAAGTTTATTTAATACATTTTTTATATTTTTTATCATTTCGATGGTATTAGCTCAAACATAAAAAACTGATTTTTTTTAAGAAAGTAATTCACCACCTAAATGTCGAAATACGCAACTACAAAAAGAAACGCAGATAAAAAATACGATTCCGTCTCTTCGAGAGTGCTCAAAACGCACATAATTGTAATTGCGTCAGAAGTTGAAGCTATTATGATTCCATAATAGCTTATCTATCTCGTTTTTTCCTCTTTTAAACAATACTTAATCAGACTACGGAAATAATGAAGTTGCGCGTATAAATGAACGTTACAAGCACGGGCAAATGGAAACGTTTCCTTAATTTGAGTTTTTTTAAATTCGCATTTTTAATAGTATATTAGCTAACAAGTGCGGAAAGTCGTAAATCGGCCGAAAGTGCGGAAATTTGGCGCACGAGGCAAAGTCCGATATTTGGTGTGACCGGTGCGTGGAAGGGAGTCCTGCACACATGAAGATAATTCAAAACTGAATAAAGAATAAATTTGTTTTGCGCACTGATTTCCGTGTGTATTAGTATTTTGGCTAACAAGTGCGGGAAATCGGAAATCGGACGAGAATGCGGAAGTTTGGCGCACGAGGCGAAGCCGAGTGCGACAATCCGCACTCTCGGCCGATTTGTGACCCGCACATGTTGGTCACAATATTTTATGCGACCGGTGCGTGGAAAGGGAGCCCTTTCTAAAATCCTATCATGTGCGGAAAGGGCGACTTTCCGCGCACCCGTTGTATAAAATATATAACTTTCCAATATGATTTTAACTGGCAATCTCCCTCCATTTTACAGAAACGCATTACATGAAAAGAGATATTGCGGAAATAATCTTTATAAAAATGCATAAAGACTCCACAAATTTACAGAAAGACACAGATAATTTAAATTTAATATACGATTTGATTCTTAATATCATATACACTTCGCCAGAACAGTATACCTTTTTAAGTCACTGTTATTGTTTCGATACCAACACGGAGGATTAGTATGTATTGAATTCTCGAACGGCACACATCGTCTTTTGACCCACCACACGACTTAATTTCAACGTACCTGTGTAATAAAATAAAGTTTTGTGGTGTATTTAAGTTGACTAATTTTCTCTATAGGTAATGTGACACATTATTATCACTTCGCTTTTATAACTACTATAATGTCTACTCTTTATTATCATACGCGCACGATCATTTTCGCTCTTGTTTCGTTTTTTTTTTGTTTATTTTGTATCTTGTATGCCGTTATACAATTTTAATGTTCGATACTTTATTATATTGTCACGGAAATTTATATTATTTTTAATTAGATTGATTGTAATGTTCATTTTACGCACGCCTAGGTTTATCGCGATATATGTGTAATACTATAGACATGTATTAGTATTTTATTTTTTACTATCAAATTTTATCTCTAATTGTCATATTTTTATATTTAATTTAGATGTATAAATTATAGACATTTGATCGAAATTGTCGGTATCAACAATAAACACTGAAATCGTAGCCAGTCTGATTGTTTATTTTTGCTGTCCTAGATAATATATAATATTAAATATATATATAATATAAAATAATATATAATATATTATATTACAAATATATAAGTTAAAACGTCATATAAAGAGATGAAGAGATATTGCGTGATACCAAAATACCACAAATAATAATGCGATAGTGTAAAAAGGGAATCCTAAATATTGCACCTTCGCAAGCGATTAATTATCCAGTTGCTTCAAAGTTTGGACAATGTTTATAAGCGTACGGGTCCGCTGATTCTGTTGCAGATATGAGCATTTTTATCTTTAACGGGTTCCTCTTATTGTGCTTCGTCGTGGCCACGGTACTAAATGTTCTGGTGCTGGGTTCACCGGGAGCCGCGGAAATAATGTACTTGAAGCCGCCGCTGAAGATGTGCCGCTACAGCAAAGTTAACTCGATACTGGAAGCGCAATGTTCCAAACTGAAATTGCGCAAAATCCCGTTAAATTTGAACGTAGACATAGAGGTGAGATAGTCGTTTAAATATATCTTACATAAAATTGCAATAAAAAAATTGTCATGTATGTTTTTGCCATTATAAAAGAATATTTTCTGTATATAAAATAACGATTTTTTTATCTTATCTGCAATTCGCATAAAATAGAGAAATTTGTAGTGAGTTTCAAAAATTCACGAAACTTTGTTTCACTTTTTTTAATAACGGGAAATTAATATTTATAAATTAAAAACAATATATTAAAACTTTTAATATTAAAATTAAATAAAAATTTCTTTTAAAAATTATTTTCCATATAATTTCATATCATTTATTTGACCTTCGATAGCCGTTTAAAGGTCATCTTCAATTACTTAAATGGAAACCCTATTTTTCAATGCATATTTTTGTAACTACTTCTATTTAAGATATTGAAGATGACCTTCATGTGATCTTCAAGCGACTATGCAAAATCAAACCAATGACACCATCTTATACCCAACTCAAAGTCAAACAATTTTGTATAAAGCATTTTAAATTGCATTGTTCAAAAATATTCGCGTGGATGAATTAAAATCGCCCTGTATACGTTTCATTTCCGATAACATTTCTTTTCTGTTTGTTAGATGCTCGATCTTATTGGAAATTATTTGACAGAACTGGAGAAGGACAGTCTGCATCCTTACAAGAAGCTGGCCTACATCTATCTAGGTGGCAATTCCATTGCTGAAATTGACGAGGCAGCTTTCGCCAATCAACCTTACCTGACGCTGCTGGATCTCAGGTTGAATGATTGCGACACTCTGTCCAAAAGTCTTTTCCAATTGCCGTATCTTCACACGCTCTACCTCGGCTACAACCATCTTAACGATTCCGTGTTCAAGGTGAAGGTCACCTCGCCCCTCAAACTGTTGCAGCTGACCAAGAACGAACTAACTACGATCCCGAACATAGGCGTCCAGCCAACCCTCCTTAATCTTAACGTGTCCTACAACAAAATCACCTCGATCAGTACCGAGGATCTGGCGCCGTTCTGCTCGCTGAAGGAGCTTGATTTGACCGGGAATAGCATAAATTTTAAAGCGGGCAGCTGCGATTGTCAGAGATTCATTGCCTGGGTGAAGCTGCGGCAGATCAAGATAAAGCCTGACGATCTTTACAATTGCACCAAAACACCGGCAACACTAAATGAGGACTGCGCCAACGTGAGATTCAGCAATCGGACGAACGAGCTGTTCGACGAGTGCTTGGCCATTATACAGCATGAGGTGGAGACTGAGAAAGCTCGATCATTCTGGATATACGTCGTTTCGTGTATCTCGGTGTTTCTCTTCGTGTTGTTCGTGGTGTTGTTTTGCGTGCACAAGCAGAAGAAGCAGCTGACGGCGAATGACGACAACATCGATATGCGTCAACAGGAACCTGACAATAATTATCAAAATATTTGCCGATAGAACGTAGAATCTTGTAAGAAGGGCTGTTTCTGCCGATGACAATACAAGAATAGAATTTTACGCGAGAAGGGCGGGATGAAAGTGAAAAAGCTCAGTCAGAAATGATCGGTCAATTGGACGTCGATTTAACGTCCAACGTATTTTATTTAATATTTCCGACTTCTGGATGATAATTAATAACGCTTTTGTTGATCATAACGTAATTGTTCAAGAGACTATATAATATATGTATCTCACTTTTTCTCAGAAATTTATAATATACTTTTCAAAAATGGCAATCGTGCCAGGAATAGCATTCGAGTTTTAATAATAATCTTACATTAAAAATATTTATTGAACTTTGCGCGATTTGTATTAATGATGATCAGATACAAACTTAGTCACGTAAATATATATTATTTTAAATTCTCTGTAAATCCTTAGTCAATTAAACTCTTTCAATAAACACAAACAGTCCTCGCTCTCTCTTTCTGTTACTTATAGCAAAAATATTGTTTAATTCACAAATAACTATGCTCATACACTTTCATCCCGCCCTTCTCGCCTAAAGATTTACCCTCGCATTGTCGACGCTAGAAACAGTTCTTCTTGAAAGAGAAAGAGAAAGCGAGAACTTGTTTATTGAAAGAATTTAATCGACTGAAGATTTACAAAAAATTTAATAGGATATATATTTACGTGCCTAAGTTTGTATCTGATTATTATTAATACATTTAGCGCAATATTTAATAAATATTATTAACGTAAGATTATTATTATGGCTCGAATGTTACTGCTGGCACGATTGCTATTTTTTGAAGAATATATTACAAATTTTTAAGAAAAAGTGATGTACATATATTATATAGCCTCCTGAACAAAGACGTCATGATCAACAAAAGCGTTATTAATTATTATCCAGAAACCGGAAATATCGAATAAAATACGTTGGACTTATAATGGTACTTATTGTTGGAGATTATTTAATACTCTAAATGGAAAAAAATGAGAAAATAGGCTTTATTGTAATCAATGAAGAAAACTGTTTTGCATTAATATAATATAAACGCGTGAACTCGTAGAAAATATATGTAAATTTTATTATAATGTCTACGTTTTTATTTATTATAATGTGCTTGCATGTATAATGGTTATGACATTTTTATATAAGAATCTATGTGAATGTGGCGAAGTTTTTGAGAAACTCTCTGTGTGTTTGAACGAATATAATTTCACTATACTTTTGGCGGCAATATATGTGTAGAAAGAAATGTCGGCGTTAATTTCTTCGATGCCGGTTAAATAAACATCTCGAAAGCCGATCGCTCAATGTCGTCGCGTGCCTTTTGTCGATGTAATAGCAATTTGTTTTGCGACAATTTTTTAAAATTATTGACATTCGTGTCTTACGATTGCTAGGGGTAATACTTAATTTTTACATATAACTGGCGTTTGCAATCATGAATTTATATCATATAGAGAAGAATGTAACTCGTTCTTTGTTGCACGCTTTAAATGACCACAAAAAATGCTCTAAACGTTAGAAAATTGAATAAAGAATAAATTTGTTTTGCACACTGATTTCCGTGTGTATAATATATAACTTTCCAATATGATTTTAATTATTTTACTGAAACGCATTACATGAAAAGAGATATTGCGGAAATAATTTTTATAAAAATGCATAAAGACTCCACAAATTTACAGAAAGACACAGATAATTTAAATTTAATATACGATTTGATTCTTAATATCATATACACTTCGCCCGAACAGTATACCTCTCTAGGTCACTGTTATTGTTTTGATACCAACACGGAGGATTAGTATGTATTGAATTCTCGAACGGCACACATCGTCTCTTGACCCACCACACGACTTAATTTCAACGTACCTGTGTAATAAAGTAAAGTTTTGTGGTGTATTTAAGTTGACTAATTTTCTCTATAGGTAATGTGACACATTATTATCACTTTGCTTTTATAACTATTATAGTGTCTACTTTTTATTATCATACGCGCACGATCATTTTTGCTCTCGTTTTGTTTCTTTTTGTTTATTTTGTATCTTGTATGCCGTTATACAATTTCAATGTTCGAAATTTTATTATATTGTCACGAAAATATATATCATTTTTAATTAGATTGATAGTAATGTTTATATCACACACGCCTAAGTTTATTGCGATAAATGTGTAATAGTTTAGTCGTGTATTAGTATTTAATTTTTTACTATCAATTCTTATTCCTGATTGTTATATTCTTTGTGTTTAATTGTCACGGAAATTCATATTACTTCTATTTAGATTGATCGTAATGTTCATACCACACACATCTAGGTTTAGTGTAATATCTTATTGTTAGTCATGCATTAGTACTTTATTTTTTATTATCAATTTTTATTCCTGTTTGTCATATTTTTAGTATTTAATTTAGATGTATTAATTACAGACACTTGACCGAAATTTTCGGTATCATACAATAAATACTTAAATCGTAGGCAGTCTGGTCGTTTACTTTCGCTGTTCTTGATAATATATAATAATAAAATATATATATGTAAAATATCAAATAATATATTATATTACAAATATATAAGTTAAAACGTCATATAAAGAGATGAAGAGATATTGCGTGATACCAAAATACCATAAATAATAATGCGATAGTGTAAAAAGGGAATCCTAAATATTGCACCTTCGCAAGCGATTAATTATCCAGTTGCTTCAAAGTTTGGACAATGTTTATAAGCGTACGTTTCCGCTGATTCTGTTGCAGACATGAGCATCTTTTCCTTCAACGGATTCCTCTTACTAGGTTTTGCCGTGGCCACGGTACCGAATGTTCTGATGCTGGGTTCACTACAAGCCACGAGAATTTTGGACCAGAATCCGTCCCCGACGATGTGCAACTACAGCAGAGCTAATTCAATACTAAAAGCTCAGTGCTCCAATCGAAAATTGCGGAAAATCCCTTTAGATTTGAAGGCGAATATACAGGTAAAAGAGTCATTTAAATATATCTTACTTAAAATTGCAATAAAATAATTGTCATGTATGTTTTTGCCATTATTACAGAATATTTTCTGCATATATCGCGAGGATCTTTTATTAATCTTATCTAATTCAATTCGCATAAAATAAAGAAATTCATAACGTGTTCTAGAAAACCGTGGTATTCCGGGTTATTTTTTGACAATAATAAGAAAGTTAAGTTTTATGAAATCGATTGAATAAAATGTCTTAATTGATTTTGATGTAAGAAATCAATTTGCTAGTATAAAATAAACCAAAATTAAGTATGTAATATTCAAAAAACGACCAATAATTTCTTAATTAAAATAAAAATATCATGACGTTTCGATCTGTGGTTTAGGTCATTTTTAAATAAACTGATTTCAAATGAACTACAGGTCGAAACGTCATGATATTCTTATTTTAATAAAGAAATTATTGTACATTATTGGTCGTTTTTTAAATATTACATACTTAACTTTGGTTAAGTTTTATGAATTAAAAATAATATAATAAAATTTACTCAAATCTAAAATAGCACAAATTACAGTTAGATTTGAAGGCGGACATAGAAGAGAGATTGTTGTTTAAAAATACATCTTATTTAAAATTGAAGTAAAAAAGTAGACATGTACTTTTTTCATTATACAAGAATATTTATTGCATATATAGTGACCATTTTTTTATCTTATTTGCAATTCGCATAAAATGGTGATTCGTAACGATATTATTTAAAATTGAAATAAAAAATAATCATGTATCTTTTTCCATTATAAAAGAATATTTACTGCATATATAGTAACAAATTTTTTATCTTATCTGTAATTCGCGCATAAATTAGAGGGATTCGTAACGAGTTCTAAAAATTCACGAAATTTTGTTTTACTTTTTTTTAAATATGACAAATTAAGATTTATATATTAAAAACAGTATAATAAAACTTTAAATATTATTATTAAATAAAAGTTTCCATTAAAAATAATTTTCCATATAAGGTTTCATATCACATATTTGATCTTGGAAAGTCATTTAAATATCATTTTTAATTTTTTAAATAATAATCCTTATTTTTCAATGCATATTTTTGTAGCTAGTCCTATTTAAGAAATTCAAAATAACCTTCATGTGACATTCAAGCGACTATCCAATGTCAAACCAATGACGTCATCTTATATTCTTCTCGAAGTCAAAAAACTTTTGTTTGAAACATTCTAAAATGCATTGTTTAAAAGATATTCGCGTAGATCGATTATAATCGCCCACCCTGTATACTATACGTTTCATACCTGATGACAATCCTGTCATTTCTCCTTTGTTTGTTAGGTGCTGGATATTATTGGAAATCAAGTGATAGAACTAAAAAACGAAAATGTGCATCTTTACAAGAAGCTGGTCTTCATTTATCTAAATGAAAATTACATTTATAACATCAAAGAGATAGCCTTCGCCAATCAGCCTTATTTGGAGGTTCTGGATCTCACGGACAATCTTTGACGCACACTGCCCAAAAGTATCTTCCAATTGCCGTATCTTCACACGCTCTATCTCGGCGACAACAATCTCATCGATTCCGCGTTTAAGGTGAAGGTCACTTCATCCCTCAGATTGCTGCAGCTGTTCAAGAACAAGCTAACTGCGATTCTAAACATAGGCGTCCAGCCGACCCTCCTTCATTTATCTAGATGAAAATTACATGCATAACATCGAAGAGATAGCCTTTACCAATCAGCCTTACTTGGAGGTTCTGGATCTCACGGACAATCTTTGACGCACACTGCCCAAAAGTATCTTCCAAATGGCGCATTTTTGCATGCTCCATCTCGGCAACAATTTGCTCACCGCTTCCGTGTTCAAGATGAAAGCCACTTTGCCTCTTAGACTGTGCAGCTGTTTAAGAACAACCTAACTGCGATTCCAAACATAGGCGCGTTTAACCGACCCTCCTTAATCTCGACGTGTCTGACAACTTCATTACCTCGATCAGCACCGAGGATTCTACTCGCTGAAGGAGCTCGATCTGACCAGAAATAGCATCAGATTCAACTGGAGCAGCTGCAATTGTCAGACGTTCAACGTTTGGGTTAAGATGCGGCGGATCAAGATGAAGCCCGACGATCTCTAAAACTGCACCGATTCACCGGCAGCTCTGAACAAGAATTGCGCCAACGTGAGTTTCAGCAATCGGACGTACAAGCTGTTTAACGAGTGCTCAGCTATCATACAGCAGGAGTTGGAGACCGAGAAAGCTTGATCGGTTTGGATAAGCGTTGCTTTATGCGTCACAGTGCTCCTTTTCGTGGTCTTCTTGGCGTTGTTTTGCACGCAAAATAACGCCACGCAGACCACAAAGAAAAACCCCGAGATGAAGTGGACGATGCTTATCCAGACCGATCAAGCCTTTTCGGTCTCCATCTTATACTGTATTATAGCCGAGCACTCGTTAAACAGTTCATACGTCCGATTGCTGAATTCCACATTGGTGCAGTCCTCGTGCAAAGCTATAGGTTAATCGGTGTAATTGTAGAGATTGTCGGACTTCATTTTGATTTGTCATAGCTTCACCCAGGCGTTGAACGTCTGACAATCGTAGCTACCCGCTTTAAAACTTATGCTATTCCCGGTCAGATCAAGCTCCTTCAGCAAGCAGAAAAGCGCCAGATCCTCGATGCTGATCGAAATGATGTTGTTGGACACGTCGAGATTAAGAAGGGTCGGCTAAATACCTATGTTCGGGATCATGGTTAGCTTGTTCTCGGCCAGCTGCAGCAGTCTGATGGGCGAAGTGACCTTCATCTTAAACGCGGAATCGGTGAGCGGTCTTGGGCCCCCTGATCGAACCACTCATGGCTCGATCAAGGAGAACAAGGAGTCTCACTTAACGGTACCATGACGGTTTCCCCAGCATCACACACACAAAAAAAAAAGGTTATCGTCGAGATAGAGCGTGCGAATATACGGCATTTGAAAGAGACTCTTGGGTAGTGTGTGCAAACGGTTTGCTGCTCCTTCTGGTTCTTGCGCTGTCTCCGGTTTCGCTTGTGCACGCAAAACAACGTCACGAACACAACAAAGAGGAACACCGAGATGCACAAGGCGACGTATATCCAGACCGATCGAGCCTTCTCAATTTTCATCTTATGCTGTATCATGGCCGAGCACTCGTTGAACTCGTATGTCCGATTGCTGAATTTTACATTGGTACAGTCTTCGTGTAGAGTTGTAGGTGAATCGGTTATTTTATGAAAAATACAATCATATATGTGTTAAAAAATATTTAACACAAAACAATATATATTTTTTATATTACTTTTGTACGATAAATTTTGGTACAGGAAAGACAGCCATTTAATAGAATACTATTAATTTTTTAATACTCAATATTATATATTGGTATCAAGGTTCATTAAACCGTTAATAACATTAAAATTATTTCAAAGTATTTACACACGCACACGGACACACACACTTATGTATTCAATCACAACAAATAAAACATTACTTTGGAGTTTTGGAAATAATTGTTGCTTCTATTTTATGATATTGATTGGATGTTTCATTGTGAGCAACTGTCATATTTAATATATCGATTTAATAAAGAGATTTAATAAAAAATGAAAGAATATAGATTATATAGATTATATATCTTTTTTCTTTGCCCCTTCCACTTCCTAAAACATTTAGTCATTCCCAGTCTATGGCTGTCCACGATGCATTAAGCCTCGTATACGTTAGTGCATAGATTTTCAATTGATTTATTAAGAATAACGTAAACTGCAAGTTGTTTTTATATTGTATGTGTGTTTATTATATATATTTTTGTTGCATAAATAATAATTACCATAAAATATTTGCTTACCGAGATTATTTTAATTTTAGTAATTTTAATAATTTTAATAATTTGTAAATAATTATTTTAATAATTTTGAAAAACGTAACTATTAGTTTGACATTGAGAATTTAGTTCCACGTGCAAGCAATTTCAGAGGAAACACTCAGAGGTAAGTTTTTCTATATATAATTTTTTTTACTTGATGGACACAGCATGGAAAGGAACTTTACAAAAACTTGGCGAAAAATATAATTAAAAGACTTTATGCAAAAAATTGCCTTTTGAAGCATTTAAAGTAATATTCTGACATTTAAAAAATTTCAAAATGAATGTGATTTAAGAAATTTTAATAGTATATTAGCTAACAAGTGCGGGGGATCGTAAATCGGCCGAGAGTGCGGAAGTTTGGCGCACGAGGCGAAGCCGAGTGTGACAATCCGTACGATCGGCCGATTTATGACCCGCATATGTTGGCTACGATATTTTGTGTGACTGGTGCGTGGAAAGAGAGTTTTTCTAAAATTCCATCATGTGCGTAAAGGGCGACTTTTTGCGCGCCGGTTGCACAAAATAAATTTATATCTAGCCTTTTCAAATTCACAATAGTTTTGCAAATATTGTGTCATTTTAAAACATGACTTGATCAGACTTTTGGTATAAAATTTTAAAGTGCATTCCGACAACACATTTTTCAGAAATAAACCAGGAATATCATTACACGCATTCCATTTGTATCTACCAGATACAGTTCTATAACCGTCTTTCCTTTGTAATCTCACAGGAAGAATTAATTATCGATAAAAACTTATATAATGCATTTTTAATTATCATCTGGTAACTTCATAGTTGTATATTGTTTAAAAATTTATATATTATAATTTATGTATGTATATTATATTTCACAATTTATAATATAAATTATATAAATATATATGTATATATATATATATATATATATATATATTAATAATTAAATTTATAACATATATATATTTATAAATATAAAAATTTAAATATATAAAAAAATTAAAATATATATATTATAAACATCTTTTATATATTTGAATATATATATACATTATAAATATTTTTTATATATTGTAGAACAATTATGTAGCAATAAATAATTGACATATATAGAGAAATTAAGAATGAGAAAATATGTTTCAAGTAAAAAAAAAGTAGAGCCAATAAAAGAAAATCATCAAGGAAGATCTCTTTGTATAAAACATTTCTTTCACGAGCATCATGTTTGTAAAGAATAAAAATTATAAGCATTGCAAACCATATTAAGTTTATTTAATACATTTTTTATATTTTTTATCGTTTCGATGGTATTAACTCAAACATAAAAAACTGATTTTTTTAAAGAAAGTAGTTTACCACCTAAATGTCAAAATACGCAACTACAAAAAGAAACGCAGATAAAAAATACGATTCCGTCTCTTCAAAAGTGCTCGAAACGCACATAAATGTAATTGCGTCAGAAGTTGAAGCTATTATGATTCCATAATAGCCTATCTATCTCTTTTTTTCCTCTTTCAAACAATACTTAATCAGACTACAGAAATATCGGAGTTGCGCGTATAAATGAACGTTACAAGCACGGGCAATTACAAAAGTTACCATAATTTAACTTTTTTTTAAATTCGTTTATTTAATAGTATATTAGCTAACAATTGCGGAGGGTCGTAAATCGGTCGAGAGTGCCGAAGTTTGGCGCACGAGGCGAAGCCGATATTTTGTGTGACCGGTGCGTGGAAGAGAGTCCTGCACACATGAAGATAACTCAAAATTGAATAAAAAGTTAATGTTTTGCGCAGTGATTTCCGTATGTATAATATATATAACTATCTATTATCATTTTAACTGGCAATTTCTCTCCATTCTACTGAAACGCATTACATACAAAGAAATATTACGGAAATAATCTTTATAAAAATGCAAAAAGATTTTATAAATTTACAGAAAGATACAAACATTCCTAATTCAATATACATTTCGATTTTTAATAGTATGTACACTTCGCCCGAATCGTATACCTCTCTAGGTCACTGTTATTGTTTTGATACTAACACGGAGGATTAATATGTATTGAATTCTCGAACGGCACACATCGTTTCTCGACTCACCTGTGACAATACACAGTGACAACTTATTTTATAAACGTACCTGTGTAATAAAGTAAATTTTTGTAGTGTGATTAAGTTATATAATTTACTGAAGGTAACGTAACACATTCTTCATCACTTCGCTTTTATAACTACTATAATGCCTACCCTTTATTTATCATACTCGCACGATCATTTTCGCTCTCTTTTCATATTTTTCATTTATTTTGTATTTTGTATGTCGGTATACAATTTCAATGTTCTATACTTTATTATATTGTCACAGAAATTCATATTATTTTTATTTAGATTGATTGTAATATTTATACCACACACGCTTAGGTTTATCGCGATATATGTGTAATACTACAGACGTGTATTAGTATTTTATTTTTTACTATCAAATTTTATCTCTAATTGTCATAATTTTATATTTAATTTAGATATATAAATTACAGACATTTGACCAAAATTGTGGGTATCAACAATAAACACTGAAATTGTAGCCAGTCTGATTGTTTACTTTTGCTGTCCTTGATAATATATATTATTAGATATATATAAAATATAAAATAATATATAATATATTATATTACAAATATATAAGTTAACATGTCATATAGAGAGATGGAGAAATATTGCGTGATACTAAAATACCATAAATGATAATGTGGCGGTGTAAAGAGGGAATCTTAAATGTTGCATCTTCGCGAGCAATTAATTATCTGGTTGCGCCAAAGTGTAGGTAAAATTTATAAGCGTACGTTTCCGCTGATTCTGTTGCAGATATGAGCATCTTTATCTTTAACGGGTTCCTCTTATTGTGCTTCGTCGTGGCCACGGTACTAGATGTTCTGGTGCTGGGTTCACCGGGAGCCGCGGAAATAATGTACTTGAAGCCGCCGCTGAAGATGTGCCGCTATAGCAAAGTTAACTTGATACTGCAAGCGCAATGTTCCAAACTGAAATTACGCAAAATCCCGTTAAATTTGAACGTAGACATACAGGTGAGATAGTCGTTTAAATATATCTTACATAAAATTGCAATAAAAAAATAGTCATGTATATTTTTGCTATTATAAAAGAATATTTTCTGTATATATAATAACAATTTTTTATCTTATCTGCAATTCGCATAAAATAGAGAAATTCGTAGTGAGTTTCAAAAATCCACAAAACTTTGTTTCATTTTTTTTAAATACGAGAAATTAAGATTTATAAATTGAAAACAATATATTAAAACTTTTAATATTAAAATTAAATAAAAGTTTCTATTAAAAATTATTTTTCATATAAGATTTCATATCATTTATTTGACCTTGGATAGCCGTTTAAAGGTCATCTTCAATTACTTAAATGGAAACCCTATTTTTCAATGCATATTTTTGTAATTACTTCTATTTAAGATATTGAAAATGACTTTCATGTGATCTTCAAGCGACTATGCAAGGTCAAACCAATGACACCATCTTATACCCAACTCGAAGTCAAACAATTTCGTATGAAGCATTTTAAATCGCATTGTTCAAAGATATTCGCGTGGATCGATTAAAATCGCCCTGTATACGTTTCATTTCTGATAACATTTCTTTTCTGTTTGTTAGATGCTCGATCTTATTGGGAATTATTTGAAAAAACTGACAAAGGACAGTCTGCGTCCTTACAAGAAACTGGCCTACCTTTATCTAGGTGACAATTCCATTACTGAAATTGACGAGGAAGCTTTCGCCAATCAACCTTACCTGAAGCTGCTGGATCTCAGGTTGAATGATTGCGACACTCTGTCCAAAAGTCTTTTCCAATTGCCGTATCTTCACACGCTCTACCTCGGCTACAACCATCTTAACGATTCCGTGTTCAAGGTGAAGGTCACCTCGCCCCTCAAACTGTTGCAGCTGACCAAGAACGAACTAACTACGATCCCGAACATAGGTGTCCAGCCGACCCTCCTTAATCTTAACGTGTCCTACAACAAAATCACCTCGATCAGTACCGAGGATCTGGCGCCGTTCTGCTCGCTGAAGGAGCTTGATTTGACCGGGAATAGCATAAATTTTAAAGCGGGCAGCTGCGATTGTCAGAGATTCATTGCCTGGGTGAAGCTGCGGCAGATCAAGATAAAGCCTGACGATCTTTACAATTGCACCGAAACACCGGCAGCACTGAATGAGTATTGTGCCAACGTGAGATTCAGCAATCGGACGAACGAGCTGTTCGACGAGTGCTTGGCCATTATACAGCATGAGGTGGAGACTGAGAAAGCTCGATCATTCTGGATATACGTCGTTTCGTGTATCGCGGTGTTCCTCTTTGTGTTGTTCGTGGGGTTGTTTTGCATGTACAAGCAGAAGAAGCAGCTGACGGCAAATGATGACAACATCGAGATGCGTCAACAGGAACCTGCCAATAATTAACGAAATATTTGCCGATATAACGTAGAATCTTGTAAGAAGAGCTGTTTCTGCCGATGACAATACGAGAATAGAATTTTACGCGAGAAGAGCGGGATGAAAGTGAAAAAGCTTAGTCAGAAATGATTGGTCAATTGGACGTCGATTTAACGTCCAACGTATTTTATTTAATATTTCCGGCTTCTGAATGATAATTAATAACGCTTTTGTTGATCATAACGTTATTGTTCAAGAGACTATATAATATATGTATCTCACTCTTTCTCAGAAATTTATAATATACTTTTCAATAATGGCAATCGTGCCAGGAGTAGCATTCGAGTTATAATAATAATCTTACGTTAAAAATCTTTATTGAACATTGCGCGACAGAAAAAAAAGAATCCTTGATTCAAGTATATTTTTATTCTTGAACGGTATTTGATTGATTTAAGCATAGAATGCTCTTTATAATCAAAAATTTTCATTTGCCTTAATAATAAATAAGTTTGTGTGAAGTATATTTTATCCCTAAGATATATTCTTGTTTTAAAAATCGCGTATAGTAAAAACAAACTTAGTTACATTTGAACTAAGAATTATTATATATACTTGAAAGTATCGCTTATATCCGATGCTCACTTGTCACTTGTCCTTGCAATATTTATAAGTAAATTTCAGCTTCAACCAAGAATATTTTGCACTTTATTTTAAGGATAAATTATCTTTTATCCAAAATTATTTATATTTGGCGTTATTATAAGGATAAAATATACTTGAATCAAGGCATATTTGCATTCTTTCAAGAATACTGTTTTTTCTGTGTATTAGTGATGATCAGATACAAACTTAGTCACGTAAATATATATTATTTTAAATTCTCTGTAAATCCTTAGTCAATTAAACTTTTTCAATAAACACAAACAGTCCTCGCTCTCTCTTTTTGTTACTTATAGCAAAAATATTGTTTATTTCTCAAATAACTATGCTCATACACTTTCATCCCGCTCTTCTCGCCTAAAATTCTACCCTCGCATTGTCGACGCTAAAAACAGTCCTTCTTTCTAAGAGAAGGAGAGAGCGAGAATTTGTTTATTGAAAGAATTTAATTGACTGAGGATTTACAAAGAATTTAATAGAATATATATTTACGTGCCTAAGTTTGTATCTGATTATTAATAATACACTTTGCGCAATGTTTAATAAATATTATTAACGTAAGAGTATTATTATAGCTCGAATGTTACTCCTGGCACAATTACTATTTTTTGAAGAATATATTACAAATTTAAAAAAAAAAGTGATATACATATATTATATAGTCTTTTGAACAAAGACGTCATGATCAACAAAAGCGTTATTAATTATTATCCAAAAGCCGGAAATATCGAATAAAATACGTTGGACTTTTAATGGTACTTATTGTTGAAGATTACTTAATACTCTGAATGCAAAAAATGAGAAAATAGGCTTTATTGTAATCAATGAAGAAAACTGTTTCGCAGAGATTAGTATAATACAAACGCGTTAACTCGTAGAAAATATATGTAAATTTTATTATGTCTACGTTTTTATTTATTATAATGTGCTTGAATGTATAATGGTTATGTCATTTTTATATAAGAATCTATGTGAATGTGGCGAAGTTTTCGAGAAACTCTCTGCGTGTTTAAACGAATATTATCTCACTATACTTTTGGCGACAATATATGTGTAGAAAGAAATGTCGGCGTTAATTTCTTCGATGCCGGTCAAATAAATTTCTCGAAAGCCGATCGCTCAATGTCGTCGCATGTCTTTTGTCGATGTAATAGCGATTCGTTTTGCGACAATTTTTTAAAATTATTGACTCCGTGTTTTACGATTGCTATGGGTAATACTTAATTTTTACATACAACTGGCGTTTGCAATCATGAATTTATATCATATAGACAAGAATGTAACTCGTTCTTTATTGTTCGCTGAAGATGACCACAAAAATGTTCGAAATGTTAGAAAACTAAATAAAGAATAAATTTGTTTTGCGCACTGATTTCCGTGTGTATAATATATAACTTTCCAATATGATTTTAATTGGCAATCTTCTTCTATTTTACTGAAACGCATTACATGAAAAGAGATATTGCGGAAATAATCTTTATAAAAATGCATAAAGACTCCACAAATTTACAGAAAGACACAGATAATTTAAATTCAATATACGATTCGATTCTTAATATCATATACACTTTGCCCGAACAGTATACCTCTCTAGGTCACTGTTATTGTTTTGATACCAACACGGAGAATTAGTATGTATTGAATTCTCGAACGGCACACATCGTCTCTTGACCCACCACACGACTTAATTTCAACGTACCTGTGTAATAAAGTAAAGTTTTGTGGTGTATTTAAGTTGACTAATTTTCTCTATAGGTAATGTGACACATTATTATCACTTTGCTTTTATAACTATTATAGTGTCTACTCTTTATTATCATACGCGCACGATCATTTTTGCTCTCGTTTTGTTTCTTTTCGTTTATTTTGTACTTGTATGCCATTATACAATCTTAATGTTCGATACTTTATTATATTGTCACGGAAATTTATATCATTTTTAATTAGATTGATTGTAAATGTTCATTTTACACACGCCTAGGTTTATCGCGATATATGTGTAATACTATAGACATGTATTAATATTTTAATTTTTACTATCAAATTTTATTTCTAATTGTCATATTTTTATATTTAATTTAGATGTATTAATTACAGACACTTGATTGAAATTGTCGGTGTCAACAATAACACCTGAATCGTAGCCAGTCTGGTCGTTTACTTATGCTTTTTTTGATAACATGTAATAATAAAATATATATAAAATATAAAATAATATATTATGTTATATTACTGATATATAATTTAAAATATAATAGAAAGAGAGGGAGAGATTGCGTGATATTAAAGTACTATAAATGATAATGTGATAGTGTAAAGAGAGAATTCTAAATATTGCACCTTCGCGAGCGATTAATTATCGGGTTGCGGCGAAGTTTGGGCAAAGTTTATAAGCGTACGTTTCCGCTGATTTTGTTGCAGACATGAGCATCTTTATCTTTCACGGGTTTCTTTTATTATGCTTCGTCCAGGTCACGATACCGAATGTTGAGGTGCTGAATTTAGCGGAAATCGCGACAAATATAGACCTAAATTCGCCCCAAAAGTGCCGTTACAGCAGAGCTAATTCGATACTGGAAGCGCGATGCTCCAATCTAGATTTGCAGAAAATCCCTTTAGATTTGAAGACGAATATACAGGTGAGAGAGTCATTTAAATATATCTTACTTAAAATTGCAATAAAAAAATTGTCATGTATGTTTTCGCTATTAAAAAAGAATATTTTTTGCATATATCGCAAGGATCGCATAAAATAGAGAAATTCGTAACGAGTTTAAAAAATACGCGAGATTCCGTTTTATTTTTTTTTTTTTACAATAGTTATAAAATTAAGATTTTTAAATTAAAAATAATATAATAAAGTTTACTCGAATCTAAAATTGCGGTTATGGGAGTAGGTGAGATTGTTATTTAAATATATCTTACTTAAAATTGCAATTAGAGAATTTTTTATATCCTTTTCTATTATAAATTAATATTTTCTGCATATATAGCAACGATCTTTTTTCATCTTATCTACAATTTGCATGAAACGGAGGAATTTGTACGTAACGAGTTCTAGAAATCCGGGAAACTTTGTTTTATTTGTTTTTAAATATAGAAAATTAAGATTTATAAATTAAAAACAATATAATAAAATTTTTAATATTATTATTAAATAAAAGTTTCTATTAAAAATAATTCTCCATGTAAGATTCATATCATATATTTGATCTTGGATAACCGTTTACAGGTCATTTTCACTTTCTTAAATCAAGGCCCCTATTTTTCAAAGCATATTTTTGTAGCTAATTCCATTTAAGAAATTGAAGCTAACCTTCATGTGATCTTCAAGCGGCTATTCAAGGTTAAATCAACGACACCATATTCTTCTCGGAATCAAAAATTTTCTGTATGAAGCATTTTAAAATGCATTGTTCAAAAGATATTCGCTTGGATCGATTAAAATCGCCGACCCTGTATACGTTTCATCCCTGATGACACTTCTGACGTTCCTTTTCTGTTTGCTAGGTACTGGATTTTAACAGTAATCGAGTGAGGGAACTGAAAAACGACAGTCTGCAACCTTACAATAAACTGGCCTTCATCTATCTAGGTTACAATTTAATCCGTAAAATCGAAGAGGCAGCCTTTGCTAATCAGCCTTACCTGGAGGTGCTGGATCTCACGGACAACAATTGCCGCAATCTGCCCAAGAGTCTTTTCCAATTGCCGTATCTTCGCACGCTCTACCTCAGTCACAACGAGTTCACCGATTCCGTATTCAAGGTCAATGTCACCTCGCCCCTTAGACTGCTGCACCTGACCAATAACAAGCTAAATAAGATCCCAAACATAGGTGTCCAGCCGACCCTTCTTAATCTCGATGTGTCCGATAACTTCATCACCTCAATCAGCACCGAAGATCTGGCGCCGTTCTGCTCGCTGAAGGAGCTTGATTTGATCGGGAATAGCATAAGTTTTAAAGCGGGCAGCTGCAATTGTCACACTTTCAACGCCTGGGTGAAACTGCGGAAAATCAAGATGCAGCCCAATTATCTCTACAAATGTATCAATTCACCGACTCTGAACAAGGCTTGCGCCAACGTGACATTTAGCAATCGGACGTACGAGTTATATCACGAGTGCTTGGCAATGATGCACCAGAAGATGAAGACCGAGCAGGCTCGATCGTTCTTGATACGTGTCGCTTTGTCCATCTCGGTATTCCTCTTCGTGGTGTTCGTGGCGTTGTTTTGCGTGTGCAAGCGGAACCGTAGGCAGCGCAGAAGGCAGAAGGAGCAGCTGACGGTAAATAATGACAACATGAAACTGCTCCAACAGCAACCTGACAATAATTAATGAAATATTGGTCGATAGAATGCAGAATTCTGTAAGAAGGACGTGATAAAAGTGTAAAATCCTAGTCAAAAATAATCCGTCAATTAGACATTGATTAAAAGTCCAACATATTTTATTCGATATTTCTGGCTTCTGGATGATAATTAATAACGTCTTTGTTCAAGAGGCTATATAATATATATATCTCACTCTCTCTCAGAAATTTGTAATACATTTTTAAAAAATGACAATCGTGCCAGATGTGGCATTCGAGCTATTATATAATCTTACGTTAATAATATTTATTGAACATTGCGCGAGCTGTTTTAAAGATGATCAGATACAAACTGAGGCACGTAGGTATATATTCGTTTAAATTCTCTGTAAATCCTCAGTCGATTAAACACTTTTAATAATCACAAACAAAAAAAATTTTTATTTTTAATTTTTTTTAATATTTAATTTCTATATATTTAAAAAATTTTTTAATTTTAATTTTTTTTATTTTTAATTTTTTTAATTATGCAAATTTTTAATATTATTTTTTGTAGTATGTAGAAAATTAAAAAATTTTTTATAATCTTTTGGTTAATTAAAAAATAAAATTAAAATATTTTAAAGTTTTTATTCTTATTTAACATAATTTTTTTATATTATTAATTTTTGTAAGATAGGTTTTTACAGGGACATTACACGAACTTAGCACCTTTTTTTACCTTTTTTTAAAAAGGTAATTTTTTTAGGGTATATTTACGTGTTTATGTCTGTATCTGATCATTATTAATACACATCGCGCAATATTCAATAAACGTAAAATTATTATAATAGCTTGAATGCTGCTTCTAGCGCGATTGCCATTTTTTGAAAAATATATTACAAATTTTTGAGAAAGAGTTTACTAGACATACATAAGTTATTCTTGTGCTATGTGGCTATAAGTATATTAATTTCCGCGAAGCTGTCTTCTTTATTGATTAATTTCATTAAAGCGTATTTTTTCATTTTTTTTCAATTCAGAGTCTTAAATAATCTCGAACAATAAGTACCATTAAAAGTCTGACGTATTTTTCTCGATATTTCCGGCTTCTGGTGATACTTATATTATATAGCCTCTTGAACACGGACTTTATGATCATCAAAAGCGTTATTAATTATCATTCAGAAATGAAGAAGACAGTTCCGTGGACATTAATATGTTTATACCCTGATAGCACAAGGGTGTCTAATTTATGTCTAGTGAATATTTGTTACTGAACATTGGGATACTCTTAAACAATCCAAATAAGGTCTATCGGGACATTCAATGAATGTTTATAAGATGTACATTAGTCACAACTTGGTACGTTCACAGAATGTCCGAAATATATCCAACTTTGAATCAATTATGGATTGATTTTAGATCTATTATGAACTGATTTAGGGTATCTTTTCAATTGTAAATTTTAATTATAAAGTTGTTATTTTTATTTTATAAAAAATACAATCATATATGTGTTAAAAATATTTAACACAAAACAATATATATTTTTTATATTACTTTTGTACGATAAACTTTAGTACAGGAAGGACAGTCTTTTAATAGAATACTATTAATTGTGTAATACTTAATATTATATATTAATTGCTGAAAAACTTTTCTTCAGTATCAATAACTTACTTAATATAAAAATACATTTTAATGTTTGATAAAAGTTATTGTTATTGCTAATACTGAACTCTTTTAGCAGAAATTTGAAATTAATATATGACGACTTATCATGTTTATACACACAATACAAAAAATATATCTGATATATCATGTACGGATTTGCGCGTGACTTAAATATTAAAAAATAGATAATTGTATTAGTAAAATCCGTAATATTTTAACATATTTTTAACGCAAACAATCTATGTGTACAGAACAAAAATATACAAATTCTGTATAATGAATAAAGAAATAAACAATGTAAATAGGGGAAAAATACATATATATAACGAGCAATCCTGCATTTTCCTATACACCTATACTTAACGGTGGCAACTATTAGCTAGATTTTGTAAAGTGCATATGCGCGTATTATCTATAGTTAACGTAAGGCGTATTATAGATAAATGCGTGTATATGCACTTTACGGAATCCAGCCATTATATTTTGTCCACTAATAAAATGCTTAAATAGTAAAAATTAAAAAACTTAAATAGTAAATAATAAATAATTGTATTAACAAAATCCGCAATATTTTAACTTTGCAAAAACTTGGCGAAAAATGTATTTAAAACTTTATGAAAAAAATTGCATTTTGACGCATTTGAAATAATATATTTTCTTCTTTTTCAAATTCTAGTATATATATCTTCCATCCAAATTTTCTCGTACACGACCGCCCGTGGATATCTCTTTTCTTTGTCCTCCTTCTCTCTATCCCCAAGCATTTGGTCATAGTCTATGCCTGTCCACGTCGCAGTAAGCCTCGTGCGTTAGTGCATAGAATATCAATCGATTCATTAACAAAAACTCAAACTGCAAGTTGTTTTTATATCGTACGTGTTGTTATACATATTTTTATTGCTTAAATAATGATTTTGATACAGAATTTACCTTCTGAAGTTATTTTAATAATTCTGGAAAACGTAACTATTAGCTTGAAGGATGTTGAAAATTTTGGTTCCACGTGCGTGCAATTTCAACGTATATCCCATGATAAAAATCTCTGGAGAAAAAAGTATGCTGAGAGGTAAGTTCTCTTTATGTATGAACTTTTTTGTTATATTATTTATTAGATACATCGCAAAAAAGATACATTGCAAAAATTGGGCGAAAAATATATTTAAAACTTTACGAAAAAGAAGTATATTTTGAAGCAATTAAAATAATTTTCTGATATCTAATAAAGAATTTCGAAATAATTGTAAATTAAGATATCTTAAAATTAATTTATACCTAGCTTTTCAAATTTGAAAATATTTCTAGATATTGTATCGTTTTAAATATGTTTGGATCAAAATTTCTGAATAAAATTGTGCAAATTTAAAAAAAAAAATAGTTGAAATATATTATAAGGTAGGAAATTTGTTCATATTTAAAAGATTTATGAAAACTTTTAAGTTCTATAATAAACAATTTTTTAAGAACTAATTATTTGTTATATAAGAATCATTTTGAGAATATGTTTTTGTTATATTAATAATTTTTTGTTACATTATTGATAATTACTCGTGCAGTTGTAACAATGTAACTGTAACTAAAAAACTGAGAAAGTAATTATTTTATACAAAAAGTATATATTTTAATTAAAAAAGATTATTAATCAAAGGCATAAAACATTCTATATTATTACCATTTAAAAAAATTAATAAATATACATCATACTTATAAACAAAAAAAGTATGTGGCTAATATATTATTCAGTCCATAGAAATTTTATATAACATTTTGATATGATGATTGATGATTCAAGCTGTATTTTCTCGTATTGTTTAATATTATAACAATCTAAACATTATTAAATATTTTATATTATCACTACATTATGCAAATGTTATATAATTAAAACCACAATCACCAAAACCACGTGAAATACTAATAACTGAACATTTGTAATGTATAACGTGTATAATATAAATATATAGGTAATATATTTATATACATACATATGTGTGTAATATAAATTATATATTTCATCGCGCTATGGCGTAATAATAAAATAAAATACACATTTCTTACTATACATTAACGCTTCATTACAACATCGCGATCAAACATAAAATATCAGTTGGTAATAAAAATATATAAAACAAATGTGTTCAATTTTTTAGTATAATTTTCGAAAATATTTAAAGTATTTTGTGTATTAAATTTTAGATGGCCTTCTGCGAAGGTACATTTCAAAAACAAAGTGGGCGTCAAATTTGATAACGCCAATATTGAAGATTTAAAAGAGGGTATGAAATGTGCAGAAGACTTGTGGCTATACGTGTCTCGTCTATCTAAGATGTATTACTGTGGAATAATTTATTCGAATATTCACTTTGAGGATATGGAGAATACCAAATGTATGCTAGATATTAAACGATATATCTCTCTACATAAAAAAAAGAACCCTTTGAATGTATACATTTTATATGATGAACTTATTAGAAGCATATATCAGCAAAATCCACAGTATGAATAAATATATTTTAAAATATTATTAAAATTTTTAGTATGTTAATTGATTATTGTATATTAATTTTACAATATATACATTTTTCAGCCAATCCAATTTAACAAAAAGACACTACAGTATAAAAATATTTCGACATTTGAATACATATATTTTTCATAAAAAATGGGTTAAATTTGAAGAAATATGGGTTAAATATAAAGAAAGATCCGTAACAGCACAGTGTTTGAAAAATATGTTTGTCTCAATATTACAATGGTGTCATCCCGATAAATATATTACTGACTTGCTTTTCGATAAATTTATAGACAATATTGTCAAAGAAGTATTACAGTCTTTGAAAAATAAAAATTCTCTGCATCCAATATTGTCGATATCGTCTAAACATTTCTCGATTTGGAGAAATAATCATATTGATAAAAATTTTTGGAGCGAAACGCACGCAAAGTCGATTAAGTGTGAACTCGACAAAATTATCATAAGTTTTGATTCTTATGAATCATGGATGGAACCAAATCAGATAAGTACGAAACTGCTGGTACGTCAATTTTTTTACATATGATGTCTTTTATTAACTATGATGAATTAGAACTTTTTAAACTATCATAAATTTAATAATAATTTTCTATTATAATTATTTTTATTATATGATTACACTTATTGTTCTTTGACAGACCTAAAAGACATATACTATATTATAAACATATGTTGTGGGTGAATATATATATCTACGTTGCAAATAGATTGGGTTTACATGTTGTAACAACACCATCACACAAGGATGTAGCAATAGACAACGGTTTTAATCCAAAAGATATACATTTGGTTTGGCAATCCAGGTAAATATATAATTCTATCTCTGAAATTGTTTTTATTTATATTGTCTCGTATTTGTATTATACGCACTAATAATTACACGCTAATACTCCTGTGAGAAATGATGATAAAATCAACGTCGATTCGTTGTCGAATTGATGTCAAATTCGTCGAATCGATGTTGAATCGATGACTATTCGACCAATCATTTCTCACTGGAACTCACATGTATTAATATATATTTATTATTATATATATTAATTAGTTATTATATATTATACAGTCCGTTTCTAAAAAAAGCATGTAAAGTACTCGCATATCTCGAAGTTTATTGTTGTTTTTTTCGCAATACTGAATGGTTCTCGATATGGGTGATATTCATAGCATTAAATGACTATTATCGCGAGGGGTATTGTTTTACAATAAAACAATGTTAAAAATAAAATAAAATAAAATAAAATAAAACCACGAATCCAAATCAGACATTGTCGCGCTCATAGCGCGCGCTTGTGTTGTCTAGTTTAAGAAAAAATTCACTGATGCCGATTTGTGTTATATTGCGACAAATTAGACAGTTGAGAGAAACCATAGACAAATATACAGAGTGAGTCATTTTAATCAATACACGTAATTTTTAAAAATATTATTATATTGTGGTTATGTTTGTGACACAATTAAAGATATGCTTGTCCATGGATCCTCTAAAATATTTCATTTATTGCATTTAAATATAAGTCGATGTTTCAAAAATATTATTCTAAAAAATTTTCGTTTTTGCATAAGCTTAAAATTTATAAATTTCTCTAAAAGTTAGAATTATTTTTGTTATATATCTTAAATTATACAATTAAACTATTCCAAAAAATTGATGATTGAATCATGTTATATAGCTTGTTTCTCTAAAACAACAATTTTATATTATATATGTGAGCTTATATTTTGTAAATTATTAAATTGAATTTTTATTTCAATACAAACCTTTATGTGCAAAATGATTTGAAATTGAAAAGTCGATAAGATGATTTTATAATCTCATTTATAAAATTTTAGAACAATTTTTTCTTTTACAAAACTGCATCAGTAATTAATTATCTTAATTCATGTTTAAAGCTAAAATTTTATTTTATATGCAGCGTGTTCCAATAATCTTGCTACAGTCAATCATCTCGAAAATAAAGCATTTTGTACAAAAATTGAGACAAAAGTTATAGGATTTAATAAGGTCTATTTATTAACTTTATTTTGCTCTTATTTTTAATAAAAAATTTAAATTTTTTATAAATTTTAAAAATTTAATAAATTTAATTTATACCATTAGAAAGAATATTATTTCGTACTTTCAACAAGTAATATGAACAAGATTTTACTTAAAGATTTAAAAAAATAAACTTTTGGAAGGAAACCATAGATAAAAAAAATTGTTTTAAAAAAAGAATGATCTGATTTTAAAAGGAATATTAGAGTGAATATTAGATTAATCGATTTCTAAAGTAGAAGGACAGTTTGGATTAGCGTGTATTGACTAAAAAAAGATATATATATAATCTAATTTAATATATTACATTAAACAAATAAAGTATAGAGTAAATTTTCTCTTTTGTTAAAAAAAAATTAGTTCCAAATAGATTAAAAAATTTATAATTGAATAAATATTAGCTTTTAACATCTTCATTACACTCTGATGTACATATATACATGAATTGTTCTTTATTCTTTATACAGAAATTGTACAGAAAGTACAGAATGTTTCATGTTTGAATGGACAGATGACCAAGATAATTTAAAAATTTCTGACATAAAAAAATGCCAAGTGCTCTCTTGTCCAAACATAGTAAGTAATTATTTGTAAGTAATTATTTATATAAAATATCGATAGAGATTTAGATTTTTAAATAAATAAGATTGGAACTGACAATCTTTTATGCTCTATTAAAAATTAAAATCATTATATGATTTGATTATGAGAGCAGTAACGTGTGTGGGGCAACGCAAAAAAAAATTGTTTTATATACTCATCAACTCATTTAATTATTTATAATTAATCACAAAAAATTACAAAATAACAACAAACCTTTTTTTGGGCCTTCTTCAGCGCAATATTACAGATATTTAATCAGTGTAGAATTAAAATAAACGGTCGGACAAAAAGTCAAACATTGACATCACGCAACGATTGAAATCGACAAAAATTGTGTTTTTAAAAAAAATGACAGTAGGAGACACCGTTTCACGTTCGCTGTTATTTTATAATTTTTTCTGATTATTTCTAAATAATTAAATGAGTTAAATATATTTTATAAATTAAATTTCGGCTCGTATACAATTAAAATATGTGATATAATAAAAGGCCAACTTAACGAGCTTATATGATATTAATTGAAAAAATTTTTTATTAATTTACTTCATAATATACAAAAGATAAGATAAACGTTTCGACTGCACGACAGTCTTTTTCAATATTATGCTAATATGTCAAAAATTAATTTGGTCATTTCGACCTTATTATAAATACAACATTTATGAGACTATCGTATGACGAACGCAGTACAAAATTCATGCTTGTTGGCTTGAGTTAGAGCGTCAGATTTATGTATGTCATGCTGTTATATTATGTAACAACATTTTTTGTCACGAACATAACACTTTTTTTAAAAAATTATTTCTTTTTACTTAACATAATCACAATGTGTACTTTTTTAAAAAACAAATCACAGACAGATGTCGGTGACAGATATCGATTTGTTTTTTAAAAAAGTACACATTGTGATTATGTTAAGTAAAAAGAAATAATTTTTTAAAAAAAGTGTTATGTTCGTGACAAAAAATGTCGTTACATAATATAACAGCATGACATACATAAATCTGACGCTCTAACTCAAGCCAACAAGCATGAATTTTGTACTGCGTTCGTCATACGATAGTCTCATAAATGTTGTATTTATAATAAGGTCGAAATGACCAAATTAATTTTTGACATATTAGCATGATATTGAAAAAGACTGTCGTGCAGTCGAAACGTTTATCTTATCTTTTGTATATTATGAAGTAAATTAATAAAAAAGTTTTTTCAATTAATATCATATAAGCTCGTTAAGTTGGCCTTTTATTATATCACATATTAAATGAGTTGTTAAAAATATACACAAGTTTTTCTTTACGTCGTATCATACTCGTTATTGCTCTCATAGCCAAATAATACAATAATTTTAATTATTTTAGGCTTTTACTATCTGATGTTTATAACTTTAAAACTGTACGAACATTTAATGCAGGAACGTTTGATAGAAAAGACACAATCAGCGACGTTTTCTCTTTAAAATATTTTAAGAACATTAAAATCGATGAACTTGATTGGAATAAATTAACAAAAGCATATATAATATACAACATTAGTTTTAGATTATACAATTCCAAAAATCCATCTAAATTTATTTTTTTTTTACACACATATGTTGAATTTAATCATTACATATGATATCATAAGTGGTTTTGATTCAAAATTTAATAACATTTTTTTTAAAGCTTAATTCGTCAAGGAACGAGAGGAACCTCAATTTTTTATTATACCCTCTTCCATATAATAGGATAAACAATGTATTATTACCGTTTAAGGTAAGGCAATTGAATTCACTCATTGTACATATTATAAATTAAAGACATGTATTGACATACATAATAATTTTATGTGCAAAAATTTTACTAATTATAATTATTCTTAGTTCAAATTATTATATTAATATAAATTACATAATATATATAAAAGCATCAACTGTGCTAATTTTTCAGCCAATGTTTACTTCAAATGAAGCGTTTGTCCATGAAAGATCGCCTGATCTAATATTTGCGATTGGTATGATAGTTACACATACGCATAAAATGAAAGATAATACACGAAAAGATATTACTGGTGTCATTATTGGGTGGCACAACAAATGCCACAAATGGATTCGATATAAAAACAAACGTTGTACTCCGAATGAAATTAAAAAAGAGTGTATCCAGAAATATAACATTAAAGATTGGAAATCGCAACCATACTACGTTATGTTAGTTGAAAATGACCTGTGTTATGTTCCGCAATGTACGAGAATTATATGCTTCAATATACTTTATATTTCTATATTCTATGATATTTTTATTTATATTATTTATGATATATTGTATAATAAATTTGATAATTTTTTTATCTCTACGTTTTTATTTTAGGTGCTATAACATCGACATGCGAAAATGGATAGACAATACAGAAATTGGAAAATATTTCTGTAAATTTGAAGGCACTCATTATGTGCCAAACGAAGTACTAGAACAATATTATCCAGACGATGCCGCAGTCGTTCGCGAAATATTGAGTAGTCGTAAATAATATAATATTTTGGATGGTGCAGAAGTGTGTATGTGTGTGTTTGGTGTCTGCTATTTTAACGACGGCCTAGGTTAAAATCCAGATTAAAATTTAAAAATATTGGTCTATTTGATACCCATCTCTCAGAAGGCAATGATTGTAAAGTCATCTAGAGCATTCTGCAAAGAAAGCAGTATTTTTATAAAATTCCGCAATATATATATGTATATTTAGCTAATATTCTGAAGCTTATATTTTGACAAGGAGATAGATAATGTGTTAAAATATTTGAGATGTCCAAAAAATTACGATTAATAACATTAAAATTATTTAGAAATATTTATACACACACTTATGTATTTAATCACAACAAATAAAACATTTTTTTGGAGTTTCGAAAATAATTACTGCCTCTATTTCATGATATCGATTATATGATTTGCTGTGTGCTACTGTCGTATTTAATATATTGTATATTTTTATTTTTTGATAAACAGAAAAAATATGATTATCAGTATACAATTATTATGGCTATAAACATTATCAAAAACAAATAAATATAATTTCTACAAATTTTACAGATAATTAGAGTTTGTTGCAGAAATAGAAACAATTTAAAAATAATATTAAGAAAAAAAAATTAATAAAGTTATAATAGAAATAACTTAGCTAGAGGCAAAAATTTCTATTATTTTAGGACGTACATAGATCATTTAGAGTTTCGTATAATGCAAACAATAGAACGAGATCTGAAGAGAGCACAAAAAAAAGAATTCTTTCTACCACTAAGGAAGCAGGTAGACCAAAATCCTTGGGCCGAGTCCAAGAAAGGTCGTTGTGGAAACTCGAGTGAAAAAAAAGACATATTATATATTATATTATACCTTATATTTTTTGTCCTTCTCTCCCCTTCCTGAAAGAATTAGTCATTCCCAGTCTATAGCTGTGCACGACAGACAATAAAGCTTGATCTACAATGTGCTTTTTGCCATCTTGCTTTCTAGCTTCTTGGTGTTTTATTTTACCGACTAGAGTTCTTCCACCTTTATCTCAGGCAACAGGTAAAGAAGAATTGTCGTGCAGTGGGCAAAGAACACGAAATAAAACACAAAGAGCACATTGTAGATTGGTCTTAAGTCTCGTGCTCTCTACAAAGCAGAGTTAGTACATAGAATATCAATCGATTTTTAATAATTCTGAAAAATGAAAATATTAGCTTGAGAGATGTTGAGAACAGTGGGAAAAATAATTATTTTTCACACTAAGGAAGCAGGTAGACCAAAATTCCTGAGCCAAGTCCAAGAAAGATCGTTGTGGAAACTCAAGTAAAAGAAATATATACCTATTATATCTTTTTTCTTTGTCTCCTCCCTTTTCCCTTCCGAAAAGCATTTGGAGAATTCCAGTCTATGCATGGCTATCCACGATGCACTAAGCCTGGTGCGTTAGTACATAGAATATCAATCGGTTTATTAAGAAAAATTCAAACTGCAAGTTGTTTTTAAATCATACACGTGTTTGTGTTAAAAATTTATGTCCCGTAAACAATGATTAACATAACGGACTTATCTATAGAGATTATTCTAATAATTCTAAAAAGCGAAATTATTAGCTTGACGGACCTTGAGAACTTTAGTTCCACGTGCACAAAATTTCAGTGGATATCAAATGACGAAAATCTCTGGAAGAAAAAGTATGCTCAGAGGTAAGTACTTTTTATGTATGAACTGTTTTGTTATTTTACTTGATGAACACGTCGCATAAAAAGGAACTTCGCAAAAACTTGACGAAAAATGTATTTAAAACTTTGCGAAAAAGAAATACATTTTAATTTTGATATCTAATGTAGAATTTCGAAATAATTGTAAATCGAGGAATTTTAATATTAATTTATACCTAGCCTTGCAAATTCGAAAATATTTGTAGATATTGTATTGTTTTAAATATGTCTGAATCAGAATTTCTGAATAAAATTGTTGCAAACTTTAAATAAATTATAGTTGGAATACATTATGAGGTAAAAACTTTGTTCACGTTTAAAAGATTTATAAAAGCTTTTAAGTTTTATAATAAACAATTTTTTAAGAACTAATTATTTGTTATATAAAAATTATTTTAAGAATAAATTTTTGTGATATTAAGAATAACTTTTGTTACTTTATTGATAATTACTTATGCAGTTCTAATCGTTGTAATAATATAACTGTTAATAAGGTGTTTTTTCGTCCAACAATAATTCAAAAACAATCTAAAATACTAAAAAGTAATTATTTTATACAAAAAATGTACATTTTAATTAAAGAAAGAAATATTAATCACACACATAAAATATTCTATATTATTAACATTTAAAAAATAGATAGTAAATATATATATCATACATATAAACAAAGAAAGTATGTAGCTAATCAATTATTCAATCCATAGATATTTTATATGACATTTTGATATGATGATTGATGATTCAAGCTGGATTTTCTCGTCATATTGTTTAATATTAAAAAAATTGCGCGCGATGTATTCGTTGTTTTCTGCACGTGCCACATACATTATTTTTTAAAATGCTTGTCGCAAAAGTTCAATTTTTGATTGCTGTTTAGCGTGAAAATGCGGAAAATGGCTTATTTCTCAACGAATCAATGTATGCCTTACTTTACTAGTGCGAGAAAAGCATATCTTTATGTTTTACTTTACCGCACTACCCTTGTAGAAATTTATCATTAGTGACGCCAATTAATCACTTATTTCGAGTATTTAAAATTCTGATATACAGTAATTTAAATACTCGTAATAACCCAGTAAACACAAAGTAACAGTTACATAACATCAATGTTATAATTTCCCACTCAATAATATAACTGTTACGTACAAGCTATGTTATATTGCGGTTATATTATTAAGTGGAAAATTATAACATTGATGTTATGTAATTGTTACTTTGTGTTCACTGGGAAGTGATTAAGTACTTGAAATAAGTGATAAATAGGCGTTAATAGTGATAAATTTTTATAATGGTAGTGCGATAATATGAGTTACTATATAGTTACTTTATTGCACTAGTGCATAAAAAAATCTTCTTTCTTCATAATTAATTGGTTGATAGTTTCTGTTTTATCATTTCTCGACTGATTTAACAAACTTGAACGTAACGAAATTTACGCAAAACAAAACGTCAATTCGTTATAACCTTCGTTATTCAAGAAGAATCAATAGAATAAAAGAAACGAGTGTTCAAGACCTTCCACGCCGTTAGAACTTATAGAAGCAGCTGCATCTGCCACGAAGACTTTATTACCGAAATAATCGAGAAATAAGTACATGAGTAAAAACATTATACGCGTTTCATATCAATAATTATTCAAATCTTACATTTCATTTTGGCGATACATACTATTTCTTATTTGAACTTAATTTTAATTAATTCCTTAATCTCAAATCAAACTTTCGCGATGGGCATTACAAAAATTATATTTTTTCACCGCCCTATAGTGTAATAATAAAATAAAATGCACATTTTCTTAATATACAGATAACGCTTTATTACAACATCACCATCAAACATAAAATATCAGTTGGCCGTAATAAAAAATATTATATAAAACAAAGCGTGTTCAATTTTTTAGTATGATTTTCGGAAAATAGTTAAAGTATTTTGTGTTTTAAATTTTAGATGGCCTTCTGCAAAAATACATTACAAAGACAACATGGGCGTCAAATTTGATGACGCCAATATTGAAGATTTAAAAGAAGGTATGAAATGTGTGGAAGACTTGTCGCGTTACGTTCGTATGTCTACGATGTATTACCATGATAAAAATGTCAGAAAAATAACTATATAAAAACAAAACATATGGTAGATATTAAAGAATATATCTCTGTGCATAAAGAAAAGAACTTTTTGAATTTACACATTTTATTTGATGAACTTGTTAGAAACATATATCTGCAAGATCCACGGTAAGAATAAATGTATTTTTAATTATTATTAAATATTATTAAACATTATTAGAATTTAATTAAATATTTTAAATATTATTAAAATTTTTAGTATATATAATTGATTATTGTGTATTACTTTTCCAATAAATATGTACATTTTCCAGCCAATCAAATTTAACAGAAAGATATTACACCATAAAAATATTTCAATATTTGAATCAATATATTTTTGATTCAAAATGGGTTAAATATAAAGATAGATCCGTAACAGAACAGTGCTTGGAAGATATAGTTGTCTCAATATTACAATGGTGTCATCCCGATAAATATATTACTGACTTGCTTTTTGATAAATTCATAGACAATATTGTCAAAGAAGTATTACAGTCTTTGAAAAATAAAAATTCCCTGCATCCAATATTGTCGATATCGCCTGAACATTTCTCGACTTGGCGAAATCATTATATTAATGAAAATTATTGGAGCGAAACGCAAGCAAAATCGATTAAGTATGAACTCGATAAAATTATTGTAAATTTTGATTCTTATCAATCATGGATGGAACCGAATGAGATAAGTCTGGAATCGTTTAATCAGCTGGTATGTTAATATTTGTATATATGATGATTTTTATTATTTGTCACAAATTATAATATTTTAAAATATCATAAATGTAATAATAATTATAAATATAAATAAATATAAATAATATATAAATATAAATATAAATATAAAAATATAAATAAATATAATAGGGGAGTAAAGAGAACAGAGATATTCAAATCTCAATTCAAGATTGTTCCTCACTTTGTCTTAGCAAATTGCTAAGCATTAGGCTCTCGCAGCGAATATTCTTTTTATCTTGTTTTTATTATAAATTCCGTATATTAATATCATTTGATAATAATTCATTATTATAATTATTTTTATAATATGATTACATTTATTGTGTTTCGACAGACTAAACTAAATATACAACGTTATAAAAGTATATTGTGGGTGAATATATATATATGCGTTGCAAATAGATTGGGTTTACATGTTGTAACATCAACACACGATAAATACAATCTTTTTCCAGAACGAGCACATTTAGTTTGGCAATCCAGGTAAATATATAATTTTATCTTTGAAATTGTTTTTATTTATACTGTCTCGTATTTGTATTATACACACAAATAGTTACACGCCAATACTCACATGTATTAATACATATTTATTATTATATATATTAATTAATTATTATGTATTATACAGCCCATTTTTAGAAAAGGCATATAAAGTCGATAGTCGCATATCTCGAAATTTATTGTTGTCGCTTTTCGCAATGCTGATTGGTTTTCGATACGCGTGATATTTATAGCATTGAACGGCTATTATCGCAAGGATTATTAACAATTTGACAATAAAACAGTGTTCAAAATAAAATTAGATAAAACCATGAAATTAAATCAGACATTGTTGCGCTTGCAGCACGCGTTTGTGTTGTCTAGTTTGAAAAAAAATTTACGGGTGCCGTCTTGTTTTAAATTGCGACAAACTAAACAGTTGAGAAGAATCATAGACAATATATATCAGTAATTCATTTTAATCAATACGCGTAATTTTTTCTATGTATCATTATATTGTGGTAGTTTGTGACACAATTAAAGATATGCTTGTATATGTATCCTCTTAAATGTTTTATTTATTGCATTTAAATATAAGTCGACGTTTAAAAAATATTATTATGAAAAAAACTTTGTTTTTGCATAAAGTTAAAACTTATAAATATTTTTAAAAGTTATAATTATTTTTGCTAGTAATCTTAAATTATATAATTGTACTATTCCAAACAATTAATAACAAACTAATATTAATATAATGTTGAATTATGTTAATATAACTTGTTTCTAAAACAACAATTTGATACTATATATGTGAGCTTATATTTCCTAAATTATTAAATTGAAATTTTATTTCAATACATATTTTTAAGTGCAGAATAATTTAAAATTGAGAAGTCTACAAGATAATTTTATAATCTTATTTATAAAATTTTAGATTAATTTCTACTTTTACAAAACAGCATCCGTAATTAATTACCTTAATTCACGTTTAAAGCTAAGATTTTATTTTATATAAAGCGTGTTCCAATAATCTTGCTACAGTCAATCATCTCGAAATAAAGCATTTTGTACAAAAATTGAGACAAAAGTTATAGGATTTAATAAGGTCTATTTATTAACTTTATTTTTCTCTTATTTTTATTAAAAAATTTAAATTTTTTATCAATCTTTAAAAATTTAATAAATTTAATTTATACCATTAGAAAGAATATTATTTCGTACTTTCAACAAGTAATATGAACAAGATTTTACTTAAAGATTTAAAAAATAAACTTTTGGAAGGAAACCATGGATAAAAAAAATTGTTTTAAAAAAGAATGATCTGATTTTGAAAAGTATTAAAGAGAATATTAGAGTGAATATTAGATTAATCGATTTCTAAAGTAGAAGGACAGTTTGGATTAGCGTGTATTGACTAAAAAAAGATATACATATAATCTAATCTAATATATTACATTAAACAAGTAAAGTATAGAGTAAATTTTCTCTTTTGTTAAGAAAAAATTAGTTCCAAATAGATTAAAAAATTTATAATTGTTTGAATATTAGCTTTTAACATCTTTATTACACTCTGATGTACATATATACATGAATTGTTCTTTATTCTTTATACAGAAATTGTACAGAAAGTACAGAATGTTTCATGTTTGAATGGACAGATGACCAAGATAATTTAAAAATTTCTGACATAAAAAAATGCCGACAAGTGCTCTTTTGTCCAAACATAGTAAGTAATTATTTGTAAGTAATTATTTATATAAAATATCGATAGAGGTTTAGATTTTTAAAATAAATAAGATTGGAACTGACAATCTCTTATGCTCTATTAAAAATTAAAATCATTATATGATTTGATTATAAGAGCAATAACGTGTATGGGGCAATGCGAACCTTTTTTTGGGCCTTCTTCAGCGCAATATTACAGATATTTAATCAGTGTAGAATTAAAATAAACAGTCGGACAAAAGTCAAACATTGACATCACGCAACGATAGAAATCGACAAAAATTGTGTTCTTGAAAAAATGACAGTAGGAGACACAGTTTCACGTTCGCTGTTATTTTATAATTTTTTCTGATTAATTCTAAATAATTAAATGAGTTGTTAATAATATACACAAGTTTTCTTTACGTCGCACCATACTCGTTATTGCTCTCATAGCCAAATAATATAATAATTTTAAAAATTTTAGGCTATTACTATCTGATGTTTATAACTTCAAAACTGTACGGACATTTAATGCAGGAACGTTTGATAAAAAAGACACAATCAGCGACGTTTTCTCTGTAAAATATTTTAAGAACATCGAAATCGATAAACTTGATTCTAATAAATTGAAAAACGCATATAATATACATTAGTTTTAGATTACAGTTTCGAAAATTTATCTAAATAAATTTTTTTCATGCATTTATAATTTGAATTTAATCATTACATATGATATCATAAGTGATTTTGATTCAATAAATTATAACAATTTTTTTAAGATGTGTTCAACATTCTGTTCATGGAATACATATTTTTCATATAACCCCGCTTCTTTTACTGAGACATGTAATTACGCCTCATTATCATCAGCAGATCTGTATTATGAGGTAAGACTATTGAATTCACTCCTTGTACATATTTTAAATTAATGACACGTAACAAACTAACATACATAATAATTATAAAATTCTTATTAATTATAATTATTTTTTATTCAAATTTTTACATTCATATGTGTGTGTGTGTGTGTAATATATATATATATATATATATATATATATATTATATATATATATATATATATATATATATGTATATATATATATATATATATATATATATATATATATATATATATATATATATGCGTCAACTGTACTAATTTTTCAGACATTATGTGCTCCAACTACATTGTTATGCAAAATAAGATCGCCATTTCTAAAATATGCAATTGGAATGATAGTTACACATAAGCATAAAATGCAAGATAATACACAACAAGATATTACTGGTGTCATTATTGGGTGGCAAAACCAATGCCATGATGACTTTTTTCTATATAAGCACGCATACTGTACTCCGATTGATATTAGAGATGAATATATACGGGAATATAGCATCTTCGACTGGAAATTTCAACCATATTATGTTTTGTTAGCTGAGAATAGCCTGTGTTATGTGCCACAATGTACGAGTATTATATTAAATGCTTCATTATACTTTATAATTTTATATTTTGTGACATTTTTATTTATATTATTCTATATTACATCGTATAATAAATTTGATACTTAATTTTTTATCTATACGTTTTTATTTTAGATGCTATAACATCGACATGCGAAAAATGGCTAAACAATTTAGAGACTGGAAGATATTTCTGTAAATTTGAAGGTACTCATTATGTGCCAAACAAAATGCTAGAAGAACATTATCCAGACGATGCCGCAGTCGTTTGCCAAATATTGAGTAATCGTAAAATTTAATATTTTAAGTGGTGGAAAAGTGTGCCAAACGAAAAGATGAGAAAACGTTATCCAGATGATTATGCCATAATCGTTTGCGAAATATTAAGTAAACAAAAATCACAAACGGAAAAAGGAAAGAACATTTTTTTAAAATAGCGCACATAAGATCTATGTATGTAGAGATTTGTTTTCTGACAATAGTCTTAGATCTAAAATAGATAATACGTTAAGATATTTAAAAAAACAAAAAATGTGTATAAGAAAATTTAAAATTATTTGTAATCATGTACACACACATTTATGTATGATTTACTCTATCGATCAATAGAACGAATAAAACGTCACTCTGAAGTCTCGAAAATTATTGTTTATTATTTCATGACATCGATTGAATGTGTCGCTGTTGGCAACTGTTACATTTAATTTTTTATTTATTATATTTTTTTTCGTGATCAGGAAAAATGTTGAGTTTTGTATACAATTATTATGAATATTAACTGTTAACATGACCAAAAACATATACAAATAAAGATAATTTTGAGAAATTTTTGCAATTAGAGGAGAGTTTAAAATATTGTGAGTAATTTAATTCTTTAATATTCAAACTTATTCTTATTGAAGAAGAAAGAAAACATTTCAATAAACCGCAGCCGAAAAACTCTGTGAACGCTTGTTTTCTCTTTTTTTGTATAAGATGAAGAAATTCGAATTTTTTAAAGTGAACAGTGAATGTTATATATGTATTGTTTTTTTCTCTTTTAAATTCAAATATATATATTTTCCATCCAAATTTCTCGCACACGACCGGTCCGCGGATAACTTTAAAGGCTATTCTTTCACTCATAGTGTTCGTGAGAAAATATCTCGAGGAGGTTTTGTACAAAATGTTAGCAATTGTATCGGGTATCATATACTTGAAAGAAGATATTCCTGATACAAGTAATAGAGAGTGAGATAATTACTAAGATATATAGTAAGATAATTTCTTTAGTAAGATTTGATGGGGGATTCTTCATGTCACAGTTAATTCTTTTTTTGTAAGATAAAGATAAATTTGTGTAAGAAGTAAATTCATATAAAATTATTAGAATTTTTGAAATAAAGAGTTGACAAGAATTTGCTAATGTTTTTATCAGTCAATATATACTTTGATATGATGGTGATTCAAAAAGCTATTTAAATAACGTTACTCATATTGTACTCTTCTGAAATTGCGAGTTATTTGATAAAGTAGAAATTAGAAATCAAAAAATAAACAACAATTGAGAGTTAACATTTCTGTTGCAATAATTGTTTAATTTTAAACAAGAAGTTGTAGTAAATTGAAGAGTACAGCGTGAATAAAAAAACTGTTTGTGATGTGTAATAATAAAATTTTGTAATAAATATGCATCGCAACACTAGTTTTTATACAAATAACATAATAAGTTACAAGATAAACCGTTAATCTCTTTCTTAGAAATAAAAAAGCGTCAGTTTTGATAGAAACGTAATTAGATTTTTTTTGCAGAAATAAAAACAATTCTAAAATAATATTAAGAAATACAAATTAATAAAGTTGTAATAAAAATAACTCAGCATACGCTGCATGCAAAAATTGCTATTATTTTATGTCACAGATAATTCATAGTCTCTATAAAGTAATACAAACAACGGATGAACGAGACCTGTAGATTGTACAAAAAAAATGAATTCTTTTTTTCACCAAAGATGCAGGTAGATCAAATCCCTGGGCTGAGTACAAAAAAAATTGTTGTGGAAACTCGAGTGAAACAAATATATTATATCTCTTTTCTTTGTCACTCTTCCCTTACCCGAAGCACTTGGTCGTCGCTAGTCTATGGCCGTCCACGATGCAGTAAGCCTCGTGCATAGATATCAATCGATTCATTAACAAAAATTTAAACTGCAAGTTGTTTTTATATCGTACGTGTATTTGTTATACATATTTTTGGCGCTTAAATAATGGTTTCGATACAGAATTTACCTCCTGAAGTTATTTTAAGAATTCTGGAAAACGTAACTATTAGCTTGACGGACGTTAAGAATTTTAGTTCCACGTGCACAAAATTTCAGTGGACATCGTATGACAAAAATCTCTGGAAGAAAAAGTATGCTGAGAGGTAAGTTTTCTTTATGTATGAACATTTTGTTATATTATTTAATGGATACATTGCAAAAAAGAACTTACCAAAAATTGGACGAAAAATATATTTAAAACTTTACGAAAAAAAAGGATATTTTGAAGCATTTAAAATAATTATCTGATATCTAATAAAGAATTTCGAAATAATTGTAAATTAAGATATCTTAAAATTAATTTATACTGAGCTTTTCAAATTTGAAAATATTTCTAAATATATATTGTATCGTTTTAAATATGTCTGGATCAAATTTTCTGAATAAAATTGTGCAAATTTAAAAAAAAATATATAGTTGAAATATATTATAAGGTAGGAAATTTGTTCATATTTAAAAGATTTATAAAAGCTTTTAAGTTTTATAATAAACAATTTTTTAAGAACTAATTATTTGTTATATAAGAATCATTTTGAGAATATGTTTTTGTTGAATAATTTTTGTTTACCTTATCAATAATTACTTAAAATAATATAAATTATGTATTTTATCAAGCTGTGTGTGTGTGTGTATGTGCGTGCGTGCGTGCGAGTGTGTGTGTGTGTGGCGTAATAATAAAATAAAATGCATATTTTCTTAATATACAAAGAACCCTTTATTACAACACTATCATCAAACATAAAATATCAGTTGGCTGTAATAAAAAATATTATATAAAACAAAGCGTGTTCAATTTTTTAGTATGATTTTCGGAAAATAGTTAAAGTATTTTGTGTTTTAAATTTTAGATGGCCTTATGCCACAATACATTACGAAGACAAAACGGGCGTCAAATTTGATGACGCCAATATTAAAGATTTAAAAAAAGGTATGAAATGTGCGAAAAACTTGTGGCGTCTTGTGTCTCGTATGTCCGAGATGTGTTCCTCTGACGATGAGGAATGTTATCAAAAAGATAACGATATCATATATTTTCTCGACCAGCATGAAAAAAAACATCCCTTAAATTTATACATTTTACATAATGAACTTACTAAAAATGAATATCACCAAGATCCAAGGTATGAATAAATGTATTTAAAATATTATTAAAATTTTTAGTATGTTTAATTGATTATTGTGTATTAATTTTAAAATATGTACATTTTTCAACCAATGCAATACAACAGAAGATTATTACATCATATGTTCCGATATTTTGTGCAAAGTTCAAATGCGCATATTATTATTTAGAAAAATATATTTTAATTGATTATTGTGTATTAATTTTAAAATATGTACATTTTTCAGCCAATGCAATACAACATAAGGTTATTACAGCATATGTTTCGTTATTTTGTGCGAAGTTCAAATGCGTATATTATTACTTAGAAATGGCGTGAATGTGTAAAAAGATCCCCAATAGATTTGGAAAGTATAATCGTCTTAAAGTTACAGTTCGATCATCTTGATAAATATATTACTGACTTGCTTATCAATAAATTTATAGACAATATTGTCAAAGAAGTATTACAGTGTTTGAAAATAAAAATTCCTTGCATCCAATATTGTCGATATCACCTAAACGTTTCTCGACTTGGAGAAATAATTAATTGTTGAGAATTATTGGAGCGAAACGCATGCCAAGTCGATTAAGTATGAACTCGATAAAATTATTAAAAGTTTTGATTCCTATAAGTCATGGATGGAACCGAATCAGATAAGTAGGGAATCGTATTATGAGCGGATGATACGTTAAGCTTTTTTATGGTGATTTTTATTATCTATCACAAATTATAATATTTTAAAATATCATAAATATAATAATAAATATTTACTATAATTATTCTTATTATATGATCACACTTATTGCTCTTCGACAGACTAAAACAGATATACTACGTTAAAAACACAAGTTGTGGGTGAATATATATATCTGCGTTGTAAATAGATTGGGTTTACATGTTGTAGCAGCACCACACGAAAATAATATAATAACAGCCTATTTTACTTTAACAAATATGCATTTGATTTGGCAATCCAGAGAAATCTATAATTTTAATTCTGAAATTGTTTTTATTTATTGTATATTGTCTCGTATTTGTATTATACGCACAAATAATTACGCGGTAATACTCACATAAATTAATATATATTTATTATAAAAAAAAAACTGTTAATCTCGGCTCAAATTATTGTGTTACAATAAAAATAAAATCTCGACGGCAATCGGAGCCTGTGCGAATGACATGCACAAAATTAATAAATTAAAATGAGATCTCAAGTCAAACTCATTTATTAAATTCTAAACGTTTCGACCCACTTCGGGTCTTCTTCAGTAGCTGCAAAATACAAAAACAACAAAAAAAAAAAAAAATAAAAGATAATCGGTACAATCAGAAAATTATAAAACTCGTATACATACAATCCGCAAATAAATTAAATATCATTCTCCTCCCTATTCGAACCGTCCGGCCGTCGGAGTGTCTCCCTAACGGTGACCATCGTCAGGAAGGAAGCAGAGCAGTGACTCCCTTACCAACACTAATCAACATAGTATAAATTAAACGTGTAAGATCCCAAGAATTATAAATTGAAAACCGGGAAGAACACTCACCCCGACAGCAAAAACAGAGAGAAGACGATGCTACACGTGACACATCACTCTAACGACTGTGCGGTATTCTACCTCGACACAGTCGATACATATATACGCAAAAAAAAAAATAAATATAAAATAAAATATGAAAATAAAAATAAAAACAACTAATACTTATCGGCACTCATGTCAAAGGTCTAACGAAAAATCCGGTTATGTATAATCACAAAGCTAGATTTTGGTAAATTTTTCAATTAACAGATCAAAATTCTCGTTTAATTTGTCGGTGTCGCTATGTAAATTTAAACTATTCTTCTGACGCTTTATGTGGATCATTTCGGATATCAAACGTTTACCTAAAAAAGGCTCCTCGTCCAAGACTTTTACATCCTCCCAATTAAATTCATGGTTCAATAATCTATGTTCCGATATGACTGATAATTGTGACGCGTTTCTTTTTATGTTGCTGCGATGTTCTTTCATCCTAGTTTTCAACAATCTACCCGTCTGCCCTACATACGACGCATCACAATCCATACAATCAATTTTATAAACTACATTGTTATGGAGTTCCCTTGGTAACTTATCCTTGTGTACTTTGATGAATTTACGGAGACTGTTAATTGCTGTATAGGATGGAATGACATCCAAATCACGTGTAATGTCCTCGATTCTCTTTGATACATTATTAATATACGGAATATTAAAGTACGAAACTTTTTTCTGCGTTGGAATCTTGTCATTGCATATATTTGTTCTATTGTTATGCAACTTATTATTGTACCGGAAGAACAACTTTTTTAACCGCGCTTGTAATGTTTGAAATATCAATTTGAGAGGATAATTATTAGACAAAAGAACTCCAATCATAGACTCAAAATTATCTTTATGGAATTTCGGATGAGATAGCCAAAAAACTCTATCTATGAGGCTGATAATGGTGCCTTTTTTATGGCAGAGAGGATGCTGCGACTCAAAATTTAAATATCTACCTGAATACGTCGGCTTATGAAATAAATCAAACTCAATGCTCCCATTATTTATAATAATAGTGACGTCTAAAAAATTCAATCGGTTGTCAACCCCCTCCTCCATGGTGAACTGCAATCTAGGATGGAAAGAATTGAAAGTGTTTAAAACAATTTTAAGCATGGAGGGAGGGGCCGCCAACGCGATATCGTCAACATATCTAAAATAAAATGGAAATGACATTGGAATCGCAGCAATCGCTCTATTCTCCAAATCTTGCAACGTGATATCCGCAATGATCGGTGAGAGGGGGGCACCCAGGCGTGCCAAAGGTCTGTTGATAACATACATTATTAAACATAAAATAAGTCGAATTCATAATAAAACGAATTGTCAATAAAAATTCATCCCGTGGAATAATACACTCTTTTTCAATATACCCCCATCTGTTAATTAAACTATCGATAGCCATATCCAATGGTACGTTGGTGAACAATGATGCAACATCTAGTGAAACTAACTTTACATCACTATCCACACATAAACCATTTAATTTGTTCACTAATTGGAAACTATCAGAAATAGCCGAATCAGGTTTCGGAATTGCCTTATATATTATCTTATGTAAAAATTTTGCCAAGTAATAAAGAGGTGTATTCCTAGATGACACGATGACACGTAAAGGGCAATTCGGTTTATGCACCTTCGGCAGACCATACGCTCTCGGTAAAACCCCGTCCGTGCAGTTCAGGGATTTATATGTTGTTGAAGAAATGTAATTCTTCATTTTCCATCTATTTAAAATCCCGTGTAATTGATTAATTAGGTTCCTAGTCGGATCTTTTTTAACAACAGTATAAGTATCCCGGTCAGCCAGCAAATCACACATTTTGTCCATGTACATATCTTTATTCATCGCAACCGTGATATTACCCTTATCCGCCTTCATAAATAAAATATCAGGATTATCTTGGATGAATTTACCCGTCAATTTGTAAGCATTACATAAACTATTTTTTGTGTGAGCTTTTTCAGACATGGAAATATGATGAGTGTTCTTCCCGGTTTTCAATTTATAATTCTTGGGGATCTTACACGTTTAATTTATACTATGTTGATTAGTGTTGGTAAGGGAGTCACTGCTCTGCTTCCTTCCTGACGATGGTCACCGTTAGGGAGACACTCCGACGGCCGGACGGTTCGAATAGGGAGGAGAATGATATTTAATTTATTTGCGGATTGTATGTATACGAGTTTTATAATTTTCTGATTGTACCGATTATCTTTTATTTATTTTTTTTTTTTTTGTTTTGTTTCTTTGTATTTTGCAGCTACTGAAGAAGACCCGAAGTGAGTCGAAACGTTTAGAATTTAATAAATGAGTTTGACTTGAGATCTCATTTTAATTTATTATTTTGTGCATGTCATCCGCACAGGCTCCGATTGCCGTCGAGATTTTATTTTTATATATTTATTATTATATATATTAATTAACTATTATATATTATACAGTCTGTTTCTAAAAAGGCATGTCGATACTCGCAAATCTCGAAATTTATTGTTGTCGCTTTTTTGCAATGCTGATTGGTTCTCGATATGCGTGATATTCAGAGCATTGAACGACGATTCGATTTCGAAAACCATCGTCAATATTATGGAAAAAAGCTAGTTCTTTCAAACTAGCGCGCATAAAAAGTGTATATGTAGAGATTTAGTCTGTGACAATAAATGGCTCGTATCAAAATTAAATAATAAATAGTTAAATTATTTAAGATAACAAAAAAATGTGTATTACTATAATATCTATTAAAATTATTTATAATCATGTACACACACATATTTATGTATGATTCACTCAATCGATCAATAGAATAAATAGAACATCACTCTTAAGTTGAAGTATCAAAAATTATTTTTGCCTTTATTTCCTGATATCGACTGAATGTGTTGCTGCGTGCGCATCTGTTATATTTATAATATAGATTGTATTTTTTTTTCATGAACAGATAAACTGAATGTGTTGATCTGTTATATTTAATAATATAGATTGTATTTTTTTTTCATGAACAGAAAATATGTTGATTTTACAATTATTAAGGATATTAACTGTTAACATTACCAAAAACACATACAAATAAAGTTAAATTTGAAAAATTAATTGTTTAATTTTAAAACAAAAAGTTGTAGTAAATTGAAGAGTACAGCGTGGGTAAAAAAACTGTTTGTGATGTAATAATAAAATCTTGTAATAAATATGCATCGCAACATTAGTTTTCATACAAATAACATAATTGGTTACAAGATAAGCCGTTTATCTCTTTCTCAGAAATAAAAAAAGCGTCAGTTTTGATAGAAGTATGATAATTAGATTTCTTGCAGAAATAGAAACAATATTACGAAAAAAAAAATTAATGAATTTGTAACAAAAAACTCAGAATACGCTGCAGGCAAAAATTAGTTATTATTTTAGGACGTACATACATAAATCATTTATAGTCTATAGTATAAGACAGCAAACAATAGAACGAGATCTGAAGAGAGTATAAAAAAAAAATAATTCTTTTTTCCACTAAAGAATCAGGTAGACCAAAATCCTTGGGCCAAGTCCAAGAAAAATCGTTGTGAAAACTCATTTAAAAGAAATATATACCTATTATATCTTTTTTCTTTGTCTCCTCCCTTATCTCTTCCGAAAAGCATTTGGAGAATTTCAGTCTATGCATGGCTGTCCACGTGGATGCACTAAGCCTCATGCGTTAATACATAGAATATTAATCGGTTTATTAAGAGAGATTCAAACTGCAAGTTGTTTTTAAATCATACACGTGTTTGTGTTAAAAATTTTTGTCCCGTAAACAATGGCTAACATAACGAAATTACCTACAGAAATTATTTTAATAATTCTAGAAAGTAAAATTATTA